ATAGGTGTGAGCCACTGGTGCCTGCCTAAACACTCTACTACCGATCTATACATTCAGTCATTAAGACAGGGAGCCAAGGCAGGCCTTGACCTGAACCTCCTGTCTCAGCCTCCCAAGTGTTGGGATTACAAGCATGTGCCACCACACCCAGCTCCACTCTTGATCTTTATTTGCTGTTGGCAAATGAATGTGTATTCTGGGGAGGTGGACGCTGAATATATTTGGCTCCCCACTGTCCATCACCCATCACCCATCCACCCCCCCACTCCCCAAAATATTCATATACCTCTTCTTGCTGGTGCTCAGCGAGGATTGACTGGATGGCACAAGGCAGGGGGTGGTGACTTGGGGCTAGAGACCCTTACACTGTCTTTCTCCTTACAGAGACGCCCAACACAGCAGGTGCAGGGGCCACAGGAGGCATCATCGGAGGGATGATTGCGGCCATCATCGCCACCGCGGTGGCTGTCACCGGCATCCTCATCTGCAGGCAGCAGCGGAAGGAGCAGAGGCTACAGGGGGCAGAGGAGGAGGAGGAGTGAGTGATGGGTGTTGGGGAAGGGCTGGCAGGATGGGGCAGTGCTGGGCAGAGGGGAAAGGGAACAGCTCCTATTCCTGAGGCTCCTTTATTCACAATCAAAGATGGCGGTCCACTCTGCCATCAAGGCCTTGTACTGTGAACTTGTGATCACTAGAATAGAGAACATGGGACTAGCCTGTAAAGAACATCCCAGTTACCTGGTACCCCTTCTCATTTCCTATTGGCCAGAATCAGGTTACATGGCTGTTTCCCCCCCCCCGCAAAGGAGCCTGGGAAATGTAGTCTTTATTCTGAGTGGCCATGGGTCCACATTAAATCTCAGTCACTATGAAAATAAAAGGGCTGGGAAGGTGGCTCAGTGGTAGAGCGCTTGCCTTGCATGCCTGAGGCCCTGGGTTCGATTCCTCAGCACCACATAAGCAAAAAGAAAAAAAGCCGGAAGTGGCGCTGTGGCTCAAGTGGTAGAGCGCTAGCCTTGAGCTGAAGAGCTGAGGGACAGTGCCCAGGCCCAGAGTTCAGGCCCCACAAGCGGACCCCCCCTAAAAAAAAAAAAAGAAAAGAAAAGGAGATTGGAGAGAGTCTCAAGGTCTTTGCTGCCTGAGTTGATTTTGAACCATGAGCCTCAGATCTCAGCCTTCTGAATAGCTAGGATGACAGGTTATTAGCCCACCAGGCTGGGCTAATAAATAACATAAGGTAAAGCTCAGCTGGGCAACAGTGGTTCACCCCTGTCATCCTCACTGACTCAGAGGGCTGAAATCTGAAGATCACGGTTGAAAGCCATCCCAGGCAGGAAAGTCCAAATGAGACTCTTATCTCCAAGTCACCAGAAAAATGCAAGTGGCGCTGTGGCTCAAAGTGGTAGCGCGCTGGCCTTGAATGAAAAATCTCAGGGACAGCACCCAGGCTAAGTTCAAGTCCCACGACCAATAAAACAAAAATGAAATAAACTATGAAGGCTCAGCAAGTTCCCTGAGGATGTGACTAGCAGTTTCTTTTCTGATCCCTGAGAGGAATTAGGGATGCTTCCAGGAAAAGGTGGGATTCACAGGAGGAGGGATGATGGGTAGGAGAGGGCCAGATCAGGGACAGGAAGAGTCTCCTTGTGGAGGATTTGTGCAGACATTTTCCTGCAGAGGAGGCATTTTCAGGGCTGAGCCTCCAATTGACGTGCCTCCTAATCGCACAGCCTGGAAGCTCCTCCGTCCTACAAGCCACCGACCCCCAAGGCCAAGCTAGAAGAGCCTGAGATGGTGAGTTCTGTGGCCCAACTCTGAACCTACCCTTCCGCGTGGAGGTGGGGCTTGGCCCACTGGGTGGGAGGGGCCTGTTAGGCTAAGTGGGGCTGCCTTGGGTGTGGTTCCGTTGTGGTGGGCGTGGCTGGTGGGTGGGACCGGAGGGGAGGGGGAGGCGATGTGGAGGCATCCTGACCTGGTCCTCCTCTCCTGCCACAGCCCTCCCAGCTCTTCACCCTGGGGGCCTCTGAACACAGCCCACTCAAGACCCCTTATTTTGATGCTGGCGGCTCAGGCCCTGAACAGGTATTTGGTCATAGGAGGACATTGAGAAGTGTTGAGGATTCCTTGAGGGAGGTGCGGGGTGCAAAGGCCAAGGACAGGAGGTTACGGTTACTTTGTCACTGTGGACTGGTGGTGCGGGGCACATGCTGTCCTTAGAGCTGGAACACAACAGTCATTTCCCCTCTCCTGGAGGTCAGGGGGGTCAGGTTTGGAGGCTGAGAACCAAATCTAAGTTCAAATGCAACTTAGGGCTCAAGGTTAAGTAGGTGAATTCAAGTTTGAGGTCAAAGGTTCATGGGTAAATAACTGAGAGGTCATAGGTCAAGGGTTATAGGTGAGATCCAGGATTGACCAAGTGAGGTCCATATTCTAAGTTTTGAGTTATAGATTGATATGTACTTGTCCCTGTTCAAAGGCGGAGGGGTGACAGGTAAAATGAGATCTGTCATGCAGAGAGGGTGTTCAGGATTCGGGGTCAAATGGCAGATTGGGATTCTGTAATAGTCAGATGACCTAGACTTCCCGTCCTCTCCAGGAAATGCCTCGGTATCATGAGCTGCCCACCTTGGAAGAGCGATCAGGGCACATGCTGCTAGGAGCCACAAGCATGGCACCCCCCATCCTGGTCACTCCAGCACCACCAACTATAGAGGGGGTTTCCTTAGATCTAGAAGATGACGATGACGATGATGAGGATGAAGACTACCTGGACAAAATTAACCCCATCTATGATGCCCTAACCTACCCCAGCCCCTCTGATTCCTACCAGGGCAAAGGTTTCATTGTGTCCCGGGCCATGTATGTGTAGGCTGCATATGTGGGTTTGCCCTCTCACCTCTCACCTTTGATCTCTTAGCTTTCTGCCAGGGATCTAGTGGCCCTGAACTCCCAGCCAAGCCACTGTCACTTAACACATGTATATTCTCCCTGGTGACATCGACCTTAGCCATTCCACTGTGACCTCTGACCCCGAGAAACCTGCTGCACACAACAGTGCAAAGCTGGTGATTTTATCTCATGTGGCAGGGGGTAGCGAGGATGTGTCTGAGCACCACCTCTGTCCCCAAGAAGTCCTAAGACTTCTTAGGACACCTTACACCATGCCACTCACTTCCCGGCCACCCACATCTCACCACCCACAACTCCAGACCTCTCATTCCTTCTCAGGCAGTAATCGCCGCTGGGTCGGCAAGCACTGGGCAGTAAGAGCTCCCTGCTATCCAGACTTGAGCCCTCCAAGCAGCAGAGCTCCCCCTGCCCCCCCCACCTCACCCTTGCTCCCCAATGTAGGAGGGAGTTCCCCATCCTGAGGGAATGTGCCCATCTCCCTCCTCATCCTTCCCTGAGCCCCTAGCACCCCAATTCCCATGTAAAGAACATGAAACTCCCCAGTGCAAGAGGGGGTCAGCCTCATGGAGCTGATACCCTGGCAGTTGTAGCTTTGGGAAACATTTGCTGATTTCTTGACTACTGAAGCCTTTTACTTTGGCCCAGTGGCATAAAACCTAAACATCCCTCTTTGGCAGGGCAAACATGGGCCACCTGGGTTGGGTGATGCGATATTGTTTTGTACACTAGTATTTCCTACAAAAGATGAATTTATACTTATCAGGTCTGTGTTTTCTGTGGGCTGTGGATTAGGGTAAGACACGAGGGGAAGGGGGGAAAAAAAAGGAAAAGGATGCACAACTTGGAATGGCTGGCAAACACCAAAGATGCCCACCAAGAAAAAGAAAAATGACAAGGTCCTCAAGATATAGCAAACCACCAACCAAAATAACCAACGGGTGTGAGGGTATAGGGATCGATCTAACAGAAATAAAATCGAACACCACAGATGATAAACCCACCGTCGCTAGGTAGAAGGATTCAAGGGGTAAATCGCAGGTAAGGTCAGGCTAAAGACGAAACTAACGATTTACCAGGCCCCCAAGGCACGATGGGTAAGTTACCTGAATGAATGGAGGCAGAGACAAAGTGATGGAGGAGGGATGGAGACGGGGGCATGATGGGTGCGGGGCCGGTGTCGGGACGGCCAGCACCCACGTGACGGTCAGTGAAAAGAAAGACCGGAAGGCTGCTGGGAGGTAAGCAGGAAGAAGTGGGCCACCGGCGCGGGAAGCCACGGGAGCTGGAATGAATGAGGCAGATGCATGCCGGGTAACGGGACGGGAATGAATGGACCAAAGACAGAAGCCGCAGTGACGCCGGGGCGGGCGGCAGGATGGGTAACGGAAGAGGTGGGTCCAGGGCAACTGTGGCTTTAAGAGCTGAATCCGGGCCTGGTGGGGGAGCCAGCCCCGGGGCCGGGCAGGCGAAACAGGCGAGGAACATCCCGCAGCACTGTGGGAAGGGTCAGCACTTCCGGCATTCGGGGGGTGCCTTCCCACCTCCCCCTTCTCGGCCGCAGTGCCTGGTGGGATGCGGGGGCCTGACCTTGCTGCCTAGCAGCGTCTACCGCTCAACCCATCTTCACCTGTGTCCTTTGACCCCAGCACGTTAGCCAATGAGAAAAATCAAGCTGATGCGTCACTAGGATTGCCCCGCCCTCGTATGCTCCCCCGGCCAATCAAGATGCTTCGTGAGCCAAAATTGTCCAATTATCGGGACATTCGCCTTGAGTGGAGGCGGGGGCTTTCCCACCAGAGAGGGGGCGGGGCGACGCGTTGATAGGCGTCTCTCGGCAGGCAGTACAGACCAGTGCCGCCCTGAGAACTGAACCCGCGGCGTCACGAACCAATAGGCGCAGGTAGTGTCGGCCAATAGGAAGGGTGAGGGTCTGCTCAGGCCCTCTTGCGAGTGACAACCAATTAGAGTAGGACGTTGGACGTGTGTGGGTGGGACTTCCAACCACAAGCCCAATAGCAAGCCCGGGTCCTGAGGGGAGGTGGGTGGACCTTGGAGAGTACCGAACCAATGAAGTGGGTGGGGCGGGGCGACGGTGGTGGCAGCGGCGGCAGCGGGTTCGGTTGCGCGTGGCGCACGGGGTGGGAGCGGAGCCCAGGCCGGGAGCAGGCGTCGCCGCCAGTGAGAAACCAGGGTCCGGAGCAGGGCTGGGGGAGGGGTTGAGCTGAGGCCGAGCCGAGCCTGGGCGGGGGGGGCGGGGGTAGAGGAGAGAGAGAGGGTCCTGACCTCCGCCCTCTGACCTTTTCCCTTCGCAGGCGACCATGGGGAACGTGTTGGCTGCTAGCTCGCCGCCCGCGGGGCCGCCGCCGCCTCCCGCGCCGTCCCTCGTGGGGCTGCCGCCGCCGCCGCCCGCGCCGCCCGGCTTCACGCTGCCTCCGCTGGGGGGCGGCCTGGGCGCCGGGACCAGCGCGGGCCGAGGGTCGGAGCGGAGTCCCGGGGCCTCCGCGGCCGGCGCCGGCGGGGCAGTGGACGATGGGGCCTACGGCTGCCTGCCCAACCCCGGCACGTTCGAGGAGTGCCACCGGAAGTGCAAGGGTGAGGGGCGCCGGGGGGCGGGGCGGCGCCCTGGGGACCCTGCCGCGGGGGCCGGGGGCGGACCGTGGGGGGTCCGCGGACTACGGGAGCCGATGGTGCAACCTCGGGGTACGGCAGAATCAGACTCCTGCGGGGGGTGATCACGGAGGGGACCGACACCCAAGGTCACGGTGTCAGCAGGGCTCCCTGGACAGGTGGGGGACCACCCCCCCCTCCAACGCGCCTCACGATCAAGCCTGGAACCTTGGGGTAATTGTGGGGTGACGGTGGGAGGAACTGACAAGAGTCCTCGAATCCTCAGTATGGGATAACTTCGTGAAATCCTTCCCGTCCGCATCCTGCATGATGAGGCTCCCCATCTTCCAAGATGATAAGGCCCTCCTGGTGCCATCCACTGTTCTGGTTGGGATGCCTTGGAATCTGTTGTGCTGCTGGCAGGGTCTCCGGGGAGAGAGATGGGGGTCGTAAGGAAAGAAGAGTTTTGTGTGGATTTCTCTTCCCCAGAGCTGTTTCCCGTTCAGATGGAGGGTGTCAAGCTTACAGTCAACAAAGGGTTGAGTAACCGTTTCCAGGTGGGTTTTTCCTGGGACCCTGCCCTCCCAGGACCTCCCAGCGCTGTCCCCTAAGTCTTCTCTCTGCCTGAAGGGCTGGGCTCCCTGGGCTTGGAAACACTTTAAAAAGAGTGTAGAGACACACACCTATAATCCTGGCACTCAGGAGGCAAAAGGAACAAGAGTTCCTAGGTCAGCCTGGGCTATACTAGGAAGACATGGAGGGCCCCGGGGGAAACCAAAGACAAATAGAATGCTCACCACTCAGTGGGGCTAGTGGTAGGACTTCAGGACTCAGAGGCCTGGAACCCACAATATCCAGGCAAGAGTGAAGGGCTAGGTGTGGAGAACACCCCAGCTCACCTTTTCGGATGCATGGCTTCTAATCTAGTCAGGCCCCACCTCTGAATTTACTCACCACCTCTGGGCAGATCGAACCCAAGGCCCCTGAAAGCAGTGTCCCGTCACTAGGCCACACACTCCCTCCATCCCCCTGCTGGGGACCCTGTCTTTACCCTCTCTAGGGGGGCCAACCCAGGCCAGCAAATGCCTCAAGCTTTCCCTCTTCTCCTAGGTGAACCACACGGTAGCGCTCAGCACAATTGGGGAGTCCAACTACCACTTCGGGGTCACCTATGTAGGGACAAAGCAGCTGAGTCCCACGGAGGTGAGGTTCCTTCCGCTTCAGTGTCTTTGGACAAATACGTTCACCACATGGCCCGCCTGGCTGAGGTGCTGGGATATTTGGCTGGGTTGTGGGGCTTGGGTCTCCCCAGCGTGGACTGGAGTACAGGGAGCCTCCTCCTCCATCGGCATCCCCTGAGCCCTACCTGTTCCCTGGTGCAGACCAGTCTGGCCTGCTGCCGGGACTGGCTCTAGGGGGCGCTGGTGAGCCATGGAACACCTGACCCAGGCAAAGATGAAGCAGTTAGTTGATGCTGTAGACATGCCTGCCATGGGAGTGCCAGACCTGCAGGGGTGCAGGATTGAGGCTTATGGAAGGCGGAACTGTATTAGGTTCCTGTCTATATTGCCTGAATTCTTTCAATGAGTTCCTGAAACACCTGGGAGGCGGGAGGCTGAGGTGGGAGGCTGGCATCTTCCAGCCACCCTCCCTGAGCTCCATTACCATCTGCCATAGTGGGACACAGCAGGGACTGTGCAGCCATGAGCCTCCATCCCATGTGTCCAGGATCTGTTCCCAGAGGTGAAGAGGCCTGGAAGGGCTGTGGGAGCCCCAGGGGTCCACAGCTTAAGCAAGGTGGTTTGGGAGAGGGGCTCACGACTGACACCTGACCTTCGCCTGCTCGGCGTCCCCAGGCATTCCCCGTGCTGGTGGGCGACATGGACAACAGCGGCAGCCTCAATGCTCAGGTCATCCACCAGCTAAGCCCAGGCCTTAGGTCCAAGATGGCCTTCCAGGTGAGTGCGGGGCTGGGGCCTGCCGCTTGCCTGCAGGTGCACCCCGCCCGCCGGCGCCGCCTTCACCCCTTCTCTCCCCACAGACCCAGCAGTCCAAGTTTGTGAACTGGCAGGTGGACGGCGAGTACCGGGGTTCCGACTTCACAGCAGCTGTGACCCTGGGGAACCCCGACGTCCTGGTGGGATCAGGTAAGGGGTCAGCCTCTGAGGGGGCTCCCAGAACCTGTTCGCCCTCCCTCCTTTCCTGCCCTCGCATTAGTCAGGGAACCAGTGACCCCAGAATGAGAGCCCTGGTGGCATGGCAGCGCCTTGGGCTCCTCTGCAAGGCCACTCCTCCTCGGGTGCCAGCGATTAGAAAAGCTCAGGTCTGGAAGCCTGGTCCAAGGGGGAAAGCACTCACCTAACATACAAGGCCCTTAGTTCAAACCCCAGTGGTGCCAAAGGAAAAGCTGGTGCACAGAGAAAGCTTAGTTGAGGCGGGCGCTGGTCGCCCCTGGCGAGCCCTAGTGGGCTCTGGCTGGTTCTAGAACACAGCAGGTCACAGGGTGGCCCAAGACCATGTGCAGTTGAGGAGATGAAGGTCTGGCTGGGGGTGGTGACTCCTATTGGGCAGGCGGGGAGGGGGGGCAGGTTTGACTACTGACTGGACTTCCAGGTTCTTCCTTGTGGTTCCTCTTTGTTTCTGCAAGTAGCTAAATACCTGCACTCTTTGTGTGTGTGACAAGATCTTGCTGTGCATCCCAGGCTAACCTCAAACTCACTATCTTCCCACCTCTACCTCCTTGTGCTAGAATTACAGGCATGAGCACATATGCTCAATGCATTGTTTTTTTGTTAGGTCAGTCCTGGAGCTTAAGCTCTGGATCTGGGCGCTGTCTCTGAACTTGTTTTGTTCAAGGCCAAGGCGAGCACTCTGCCACTTGAGCTACAGCTCCACTTTGGCCTTTTCTGAGTAGGTTATTGGAGATGAGAGTCTCATGGAATTTCCTGCCCAGGCTGGCTTTGAACCATGATCCTCAGATCTCAGCCTGCTGAGTAGGTAGGATGACAGGCGTGAGCCACCAGCGCCCAGCTTCAGTGTGTACATCTTCAGCATGTTCTGTACAGTGCCTTCTAGGTCTTGAAGGGATAAATGAATGACTGAAGTGTCTGCTTTCTGGGCTTCCTTTTTTGCCAGTCCTGGGGCTTGAACTCGGCCTTGGGCACCCTTCCGGAGCTGCATTTGCTCAAGGCTAGCACTCTACCACAGTGCCACTTCTGGCTTTTTCTAGTTATGTGGTACTGAGGAATCGAACCCAGGACTTCATACATGCTAGGCAAGCACTCTACCACTAGGCCACATTTCCAGGCTGGGCTTCCATTCTTTTTGAACTCTAGCTCAAAGCGAGTGCTCTACCACTTGAGCCACAATGCCACTTCCTGGTTTTCTAGTGGTTTATTGGAGACGAGAGTCTCAAGGATTCTTGCTCGGGCTGGCTTTGAACCCATGATTCTCAGATCTGAGCCTCCTGAGTAGCTAGGATTACAGAACTCAACCTTCTTCCTGAGCTTGGGGCACTGCCACCAGAGCTGAGCTGGTGAGGGACAGGCCTGGCCTTGTGCTCAGGGACAGGGGAGCAGACTGCAGGGGGCTCACTTATGAAAAGTGGAGCGATGGGAGTGGCTGCCAGGGGAGCATGCGTGTTGGTGGAGGCCATGGTGGGTTTGAGCGCTGGAGGGCGGGCCCTGTCCCCCGTGTCTTAGAGTTCTCAGGGAGGAAGTTTGTGAAGTTGCATGGTCAGGACGGGTACGGGGTCTGTGTACCCAGGAGGCTGGAGCCAGAGCATCCTGAGCAGGGGGCAGTGGAGAAGGGCATGGCGAGAAGCTGGGGGGGGGGCTTGGTCAGGGGCTCGAGGGTGGAGGTCATATTTCCTGTGTCCTGCTGACCTGATGGTGGTGCCACCCACTCGGCTTACACTGTCACCCCGGTAGAGCCACCAAGCTCCACCAAGACGGCGCTTTCCCTCGGGGCCTTTACCCGTGCTCCTTGTGCAAAATGCTTCCCCTCGTCCTGTCGTGCTGGATGTTGACCCTTGTTACTCTTGGAAAAGGCAAAAATGGTGCCACTTTGCTTGGCATGGTGGTACAGGCCTTCAGTCCCAACAAGCTCTGGAACAGCCTAGCCCAAGGGTGGGTGGGTGCTCACTCAGGCGGTAGAGAACGTGCCTGCCGTGCTCCAGCTCCGCCTCGGGCCCTTGCTGCCTGCTTGGGTCTCTGGTGTTCTGCAGCCTTGGGGGCTGTCAGGGTGCTAGTGGCCCAGGCAAGGCCCACGGCTGCACTCTTGCTGCCAGGGATCCCGAGCCTCCAGCCGTTCAGGGTGGCCCTGCCTAGACTTGTCTGGCCCTGGGCCCCAAGGTGCGGGGGCTCTGTGTCACCTGGGCTGCAAAGATGGGCCAGGACTTGAACCCCGGTTGCCTGACCTGGGCTGTGTTCTCTGCCCCGCGGCCTTGATGGCTCATATAACACAGGACTGGGTGGTGGAGGCCCGGGCTGGCACATTAGTGCGGGCTTCGGGTGCACAGGCACGGTACTGGTCTTGGGTGTGCAGGCATGGTGCTGGCTCCCGTTGCGCAAGCACACTGGCCACCCGGACCCGCCTCAGCCTGGCATTGCGTGTGTCCCCAGGCATCCTCGTGGCCCACTACTTGCAAAGTGTCACGCCGTGCCTGGCACTGGGTGGAGAGCTGGTCTACCACCGGCGGCCGGGTGAGGAGGGCACCGTCATGTCTCTAGCCGGGAAGTACACATGTGAGTGGGGCATGAACGGCTGGGGATGGGGGAGCTGGGGCTGGAGGGGGTTCCGGGGTCCCACATGCAACATTACCTCCATTCTGCTCTCCTCAGTGAACAACTGGCTGGCCACAGTCACGCTGGGCCAGGCGGGCATGCACGCCACATACTACCACAAAGCCAGTGACCAGGTGAGAGGGGCGGGTGCAGCGGGGGAGCCAGGGAGGGCGCCTGCACAGGGGCCCGCCCCTCACCCCTGTGGCCCCACCCCTCCAGCTGCAGGTGGGCGTGGAGTTCGAGGCCAGCACGAGAATGCAGGACACCAGCGTCTCCTTCGGGTACCAGCTGGACCTGCCCAAGGCCAACCTCCTCTTCAAAGGTGAGCCCGTAGAGTGCCAGCCCCGGCTGACCGGAGCCACCAGTCAGATGCAGACCGTCCGTTTGGGCGCCGTCCTGGCCTTGCGTGTCACCCCCTCTCACCCTCACCAGGGCTGGTGGCTCTGTCCAGCCCCGTGCCCCCGCACTGACCGCTTCGTCCTTGCTGGGCTGGGGAGTGGAGGGTCCAGGGAGTGGGGCGTCCAGTACTCAGCTCCCCCACCACCTGCTCGCCTGCAGGTTCTGTGGACAGCAACTGGATCGTGGGCGCCACGCTGGAGAAGAAGCTGCCTCCGCTGCCCCTCACACTGGCCCTGGGCGCCTTCCTGAACCACCGCAAGAACAAGTTCCTGTGCGGCTTCGGCCTCACCATCGGCTGAGCCCAGCCTCCGCCTTTCGTCCTCCACCCTGCGCCTCCCTCCCTCCCTCCCGGGGCGGGGGCAGTGGGAACGGGGTTCCGGCCCCCCCCCCCCCAGCAGCCCACCAGGGGGGTCTCAGGATTCCCAGTGCCAGGGGGCCTGGGGTCCCGGAGGGGATTCTGGAATATTCCGAGCACCGTGCAAGAGGCAGCCGGAAGACCTCAGGGCGGTGTCCCAGCAGCCCGGGGCCCCACCGAGCCGGCCCTGGGCAGCGAGAGGAGCTCCCGCCCCGTCCACCTCCCCCTCCCCCGTATAAATCATGTTTATAAGTTATGGAAGAACCGGGACATTTTGCAGAAAAAAATATATACGTGGAAAAAAAAAAAAAACACTTGGGAGGAGGACATGGTTTTCTCTGGTGTGGGCCGGCAGGGGGCGCTGTGGGACCGGGCCTTGGCGACACCGCACCCCGTGCTCCCCTTGGGGGGGCTGGGGGGAAGTACACCCTCGGTCAGATTCCAGGCTGAGCTGCAAGGACTTTGTCCCTGTAAACAAGCCATGGGGAGCCCAGAGTGCAGGAGGGCCTTTCCCGGCCCCCCATGCAGAGCAGGAGGTGGGGTGCCCCAAGCCTGGCAGTTACCTAGGGAAGGACAGAGGCCCCACCCGGCCAGACCCAGCCCCTTGTGTTAGGGGCCAGGTGACCCAGGATGGCCTCAGTTCTCCAGCCGCTGACTCCCAAAGGTTGGGACTACCAGAGCCTACCATACTGCCCTCCCTCCCCAGACAGGAACCGAGACCTCACCTGCCCCTGTCCAAGGTTAGGCTGGCGGCCAGAGGTGACCCCTAGTTAACCAGGAACCAGCCTAGGCTCCAAGGCACTGGACCAGGCGTCCACCCTGCTCCCACCCCAGGGCCACTTTGCAGCTCTAGGGGCCAGCTGGCACCCTGGCCCCAGCTTCTGGCCTGCTCTGCCCACACCCTAGATGGGGGGCAGGGGGCCTCAGGCAAGGCTCAGAGGCTGCAGTGCACACTAGAGGCTCAGTCACCTGCCCAGGGCCACCATAGGGTAACTGGCAAATTCTGGCAGGCAGGTTCCCCTGGCTGGTGCACTCAGCTTCCAGATTGGGGGTGGGGGGGACTGCTTATGTTTCCAGGGCCCCCAGGGCAGGGGATAGGGTCCAATTTCTCAGCTGGGGACAGAGGGTCCCAGAAGTGTGTCACCCATGATCACAGCCACAGGAGGCTGAGGCCAAAGCCCAGCGCCTGTCCATCCAAGTGCCTCATCCCTTCCTGCGCTTCTATGCTAACCCCAGCCCCTGTCCCATAATGTATATACGTCGTCCAGTTTAGCGGGGAGTGAGTACTGGGGGTTCCAGTCCCCCCCCCCAAATAGAGGAGGACACCTGTATTACTGGGTGAGAGGTTACCTCCCTTTCAGGGGGCTGGGGGGGGGGTCACAAGGCCTCCAAGCCCAGCCCCACCTTCTCCCCTCCCCTCCTCGTGACAGGGCCTGGCCCAGCCCTCGGGCCCTGGGGAGGGGGCGGAGCAGGGAGCCCTATAATTGGGCCGGTCTGGGATCCCAGATCGCTATTCTGCCCCTGGAGGAGAGGATCGTGCACCCCCCTGGAGCTGGTGAGGAGAATCACAGCCGCAGGGAAGGGTCTGGGGACACAGCCTGACCTGGAGCAGTGGGGAGATAAGACGGAGGACCTGGGGACTCCCTGGCCTCCAAGGAAGAGTTGGGGACAGGCAGGACAAGGCTGGAGCATAGAAAAGTCACTTGGGGACTGGAGAAAAAGCAGCCTGTGGCTGGGGCCACAAGAGTCCAGCTAGAAAGTGAGCCAAGGGGGCAGCTGGGAGACCACAGACGACCCAGGATTAAAACCCGTTACTGAAGGCTCCCACAGTCCTATTTTCATGCTGGGGGGCACAGGGGTACCTCAACTACATTGAAGGACTTTTTTTGGGGGGGGGGACTTTAGCCTTTTTATGTACTTAGGTTTGGCCTCAAACCCCCGTGCTACCTTTTCCCTCAGCCTTCCTTATATGGGATTACAGACTTGCACCTCTGCTCCAGATCAGGAGTTTAAAATGAGGGTTACATTAGCACAGCAATGGAAAGCAGGGATTTAGATGTAGAGTTAGTTTGGACCTCTGGGAACACAGCTGCAGCTGGAGATTGGGGGTGGGGTGGGATGGAATTTGAACCCTGGGAGAGCAAGGTGGAATTTTTGGCAATGGAGAGGACCTGGGGATGGAGAGAGAGGAGGCTAGGACAAAAGACAGGGGGTGGGGGCATCCTGGTAGAAGTTTATGATTGGATTAGCCCCCTAACCTGGGGCGGGGCTGAGGGTGGGAGGGAGGAGCCATCTCTTGGCTGTTTATTGACAGTTTCTCCTCCGCAGACTGGCCAATAGCAGGCTCTGAGAAGATGAAGCTTTTGTGGGCTGTGCTGGTGGTCACGTTGCTGGCAGGTATGGGGGCAGGGTTTGTTCCCAGCTCTCCCCTTTTCCCTGGCCCATCTCATCCCCTCTCCCTAACTCAAGTCCTAGATTCCATCTCTTTTTTTGGCCACTCATGGGGCTTGAACTTAGGGCCTGGGCGCTGTCCCTGAGCTTCTTTGCTCAAGGCTCGCACTCTACCACTTTGAGCTCCACTTCTGGTTTTCTGATGGTTCATTGGAGATCAGAATCTCACCTACTTTCCTGCCCAGGCTGGCTTTGAACTGAGATCCTCAGACCTCAGCCTCATGAGTAGCTAGGATGACAGGTGTGAGCCACCAGCACCTGGCTTCCATCTCATTCTTTTTGTGTGTGCCAGTACTGAGGGCTTGAACACAGGACCTTGTCTCTTACATTTTTCATTCAAGACTGGCACTGTACTACTTGAGCTCTAACTCCACTTCTGTTTTTTGTGCTTGGTTCATTGGAGATAAAAGTCTCACAATAAGATGGAGCTGGGAAAGTAGCTCAGTGGTAGAGTGCTTGCCTTGCATACATGAGGCTCTGGGTTCCATTCTTCAGCACCACATAAGCTGAAAAAGCTGGAAGTGGCACTGTGGCTCAAGTGGTAGAGCACTAAACTTTCCTGACTGGGCTGGCTTTGACCCATGATCCTTAGATCTCAGCCTCCTGAGTGAGTATGAGGACAAGTATGAGCCACTGGCACCTGGCTACATTTTCTTTTTGAGAGCAAGTCCCACATCTGGGGCTCTCCTGACATTTGCCCTGAGAAGTTTTGACTGAGTGGGCTTTGGGTTTTCCATGTATAAACATGGGAATTATAGCCAGGTGCCGGTGGCTCACGCCTGTCATCCTAGCTACTCAGGAGGCTGAGATCTGAGGATTGCAGTTCAAAGCCAGCCCAGCAGGAACAGAATGTCTGTAAGACTCATCTCCAATGAACCACTGGAAAACCAGAAGTGGCACTGTGACTCAAGTAGTAACACACTCACCTTGAGCTGAAGAGCACCCAGGCCCAGAGTTCAAGCCCATGACTGAAAAGAAAAAGGGAGGGAGGGGAAATTGTAGCCCCAGAATTAGTGCCCACACTAGTGGCTCATGCCTGTCATCCCAGCTTTTTAGGAAGCTGAGATCTGAGCACTGTGGTTCAAAGCCAGCCCAGGCAGAAAAATGCAAGAGACTCTTATTTCCAACTAATCACTCAAAGCCAGAAGTAGAGCTGTGGTTCAAGTGGTAGCACATCTGCTTTGAACAAAAAAGTTTTGGGACAGCGCCCAGGTCCTGAGTTCAAGCCCCAGCAAACACACACACACACACACACACACACACACACACACACACACATATACACAAAGGGAACTATAGTAATGTGCCCATCACAGGTACACAGAGACCATAAATGTTGGCCAAGTAAACGAACAGTACCCTTCAGTGGGGAGGGTCTGGGTGGCTCCAAACACACCCAGGAGCATTAATGGAGCCCGTGCCGTGTACCAGCTCCCTCAGGCCAAACCCTCACAGAGCCATGAACTTGCTCCACACAGGATGCCGGGCTGACGTGGTGGAGCCCGAGTCGGAGCCGGAGATGCTTGAGCGTTCACAGTGGCAGGCCAGCCATCCCTGGGAGCTGGCGCTCGGCCGCTTCTGGGATTACCTGCGCTGGGTGCAGACATTGTCTGACCAGGTGCAGGAGGAACTGCTCAGCTCCCAGGTCACCCAGGAATTGACGTGAGTCACCCACCCTGACCTTTGACCCTCCTGGTGGCCAACTGTCAGTGGGTGGATCCCTGGGGCCCCAGGTCCCTTGCATCCCCTGTCACCTCTCTTTAGGGTCCAAGTCTCTGCACCTTCCTGTTCTTCCATTGCTCTTCCTGTCTCTGTTCTCTTTCTGGTGCCCCATCCTGCTGGATTTTGAACTTGGGGCCTTGGGCACACCCCACTTGGGCAGTGTCCCACCTCACCCCCACCCCCATCCCCAGCCTGTCTTGCTTCCATTTATTTTCCAGACAAAAGCTGGCACTTGGGGCATGAGGGGCGTCAGGTGGAGAGCTGGGATTGCAGGCGTGTGCTTCCATGCTAGGCCCTTGCTTTCTCATGAGTCCATGTGTCTGTGGATCTATGTCTGTTTTGTGCCTCTGTGAATTTCTTTCTCTTGGGGAAGGTTCCCTCGCTCTATGATGGCCATCTACCCTCCGTCTCCCCCCCCCTTCCCCACCCAGGGTCCTGATGGAGGAGACCATGAAGGAAATAAAAGCGTACAAATCCGAGGTGGAGAGCCAGCTGAGCCCGATGGCGGCGGAGACTCAGGCCCGGCTGAACAAGGAGCTGCAGGCGGCGCAGGCGCGGCTGGAGGCGGACATGGAAGACGTGCGCGCGCGCCTGGCGCAGTACCGCACCGAGGTGCAGACCATGCTGGGCCAGAGCACGGAGGAGATGCGCGCGCGGCTGGCCTCACACCTGCGGAAGCTGCGCAAGCGGCTGGGCCGCGACGCCGAGGACCTGCAGAAGCGCCTGGCCGTGTACGAGGCCGGGGCCCACGAGGGCGTGGAACGCAGCGTCAGCGCCCTCCGCGAGCGCCTGGGGCCTCTGGTGGAGCAGGGCCGCACGCGGGCCGCGGGCCTGGACGCCGGCGCCGCCCGGCTGCGCGATCGAGCCCAGGCCCTGGGCGCCCGGCTGCGAGGGCGGCTGGAGGAGGTGGGCAGCCAGACCCGCGACCGCCTGGAAGAGGTCCGCGTGCAGATGGAGGAGGTGCGCGCCAAGATGGAGCAGCAGGCCCAGGCCTTCCGGTCCCGCCTCAAGAGCTGGTTCGAGCCCCTCGTGGAAGACATGCAGCAATACTGGGCCGAGCTGGTGGAGAAGATGCAGGCGGCCGTGGGCCCCAACGCCGTCCCTGTGCCCGCCATCGACAACCACTGATCCGGCCGCCCAGCCACCCACCCATCGCCTGGGCAGACCACCCCAGGGAGGGCACCTCCCCTGCCCCCCCCTCCCCGTCCCCCTTCCTACCCCCCTCCCCTGGCTCCCCTGTGTCCTGGGGGTCTACAGGAGACCCCTGGCCCCAGCCTGGCTTAATAAAGATTATCCAAGCTACGCAGCATCTGCTGGCACAGTTTCTCCCCCCTTCCCCATACTGTCCCTTAGATGTGTGTGTGTGTGTGTGTGTGTGTGTGTGTGTGTGTGTGTGTGTGTGTGACTGCCCTGTAGTCAGTACTCAGGAGGCTGAGATCTAAGGATGATGGTTCAAAGTCAGACCCAGCAGGACAAGTCTGTAAATTCAACTGCTGTACTGGCACACCCACAGGAACAAAAACCACACTCAGTTCTTGGAACCTCTCTGTCCACTGACAAGTTCGAGGTCCCCACCCCCCCACCCCACCCCCGGCTTCATTTTGGCCTCCACTTCCTTTCATCTCATCACTGATTCCCTTTTGTCTGTGGGTGCCACCCAGAACCCACAGACCAAAGTTACCGAAAGCCCTTAACCCTGAGGGCAAAACCGAACTTTGCTGGGCTCCTGATTCCCTTCTTTATACCTTATTTTATTTTTTATTTTTTGTCGGTCATGGAACTTGAACTCTGGGCCTGGGCGCTGTCCCTCAGCTCTTCAGCTCGAGGCGAGCGCTCTACCACTTGAACCACAGCGCCACTTCCCGTTTTCTGGAGGTTTATTGGAGATAAGAGTCTCATGGACTTTCCTGCAGGGGCTGGCTTTGAACCGTGATCCTCAGCTCTCGGCCTCCTGAGTAGCTAGGATTACAGGCATGAGCCACCGGCGCCCCGCTGGTTCCCCTTTTTTTGAGACAGTCTCACTATGTAGTCCAGACACTTGAGCCACAGCACCACTTCCGATTTTCTGTTAATTTACTGGAGATAAGAGACTCACAGACTTTCTTGCCCAGGCTGGCTTTGAACCGTGATCCTCAGATCTCAGCCTCCTGAGTTGCTAGGATTACAGGCGTCAGCCACAGCACCCGGCTTGTCTCTATTTTTTTTTTTTCCTCTCAAAACTAGCACTCTACCACTTGAGCCACAGCACCACGTCCGGTTTTCTGGTGGTTCACTAGAGATAAGAGTCTCACAGACGTTCCTCCCCAGACTGGCTTTGAACTGCCATCCTCAGATTGCAGCCGCTTGAGTAGTTGGGGTTACAGGCATGAGCCACTGGCATCTGGCTGAGACTGGTTTTCTTATCTTCTCCGCCTCTCCCTTCCCTCCCTCTCTCCCTATGTCTTATCTGATTTTTGATTTTCTTCCTCTAGCTATTATCTATTATTCCTGCCTCCCCTGCCTGCGCTCCCCCTGTCCGGAGATTCTCCCCCTCCTGTCCTTCCGAATAAACCTTTGAGGCCTGAGTGCAGGCTGGGGAGGCCAGGACGAGGCACCCCATATCCGTCACCAGGCCAGTTGGGGCTGGCAGAGCCGAGAACAAGAAGGAAGGTCGGGGAGCCGCCTGCCACCCCCTCAGTTCTCAGGACCCAAAGCCGGGTTCCCACTTGCAGGCAGGCCAGGGCTTGAGCTGCGAATCCTGGGCCAGGCTTCCTCCTCTCCAGGCCCCTGCTGGCTTGGCACACCCTGAGTCCAGAACTTTCCCTGGCGCAGACAGCTCTAGATGCCCATCTGGAGGCCGGGCCAACTCCTCTCCCACACTTACTATGGGGCCTTTCCAAGGGAAGAAGGGGGTGGGGAGGGTCAACCCAGGGACTTGCCTCTCAGAGCCTCAGTTTCCCCAGCTGTTAATGGGAGAAGGCAGCAGTTGTGTCTGCCACTAAAGAACGAGTCATCTTTGTTTTTTGAGGGAGGGAGGTCTCCTTCAGCCCAAACTGACTTCCAAGTTAGTCCTCCCGCTGGGATTCTAGGCAGGTGCCACCATGCCCTGTAAGGGCTTACTATTGAATCCCCAGGATGGAAGACCTAAGCCCTGAGCCTCACTCAGACCCAGAGATCTTGTAGGGCAGTGGGAGCCTGGCTGAAGAGTGGGAAGAATCTAGAGGAGAGTGTCAGAAGCTCTCCCCTTTCACTAGATCATTGCACGTGCACAGCTCTGCCTCAGTTTCCCCACACACACCAACACTGTGCTATGCAAACCTCAGTGATGGTTTCCTCTGTGGGGCTGGACATGAGGGCAGACAATGTATGGGGGTAGGTGTATGTGTGTGTGTAAGTGTCTGGGCAGCTCAGGGCACGGGGCTCAGCCACAGAAGCAGGAAGGGGGGGGGGTCAGCCTCTCCCCACCCCACCCCTGCAGAAACTGGGATGTCGAAATCCTGTCAGGGTCGCAGGCAGTCATCTGTGTGACCCCTTGCATAACCACGTGCCTGGCCCCCGGCGCTGACACGTGGTTGTGGCTGAGCCAGGCCAGCCTGGGCCCCCTGCCACCCTCCTGCCCCCCCTCCTCCCCACCCCCGCCCCCGCCAGCTACCAGGGATCACTAGCGGTCAAAGCAGCCTAGGGGAAGCGGGGGTGGGGGGGCGCTTTGGACGGCAGCCGGGGAGGCGGGAGAGAATATGTTCATGGGGGGGGGGGAGGCTTGGAGCCAGGAGGGGCCTAGGAGATGGGGGGGGACTTTGTTTGCGGCAGCAGAGTTTCCCTTCCTTAGAGGAATGGAGACTCCCCCCCCCAAAAAAAAGGAAGATGGGAACATAAAGCTAAGATTTCTCTGTGTCTCCCCCCAACCGGGCCCCCCCAGAACATCAAGGCAATCTGGACCAGTGGGAAAGAAAAATCTGAGTGGATTCGGGGTGAATCACATGAGCAGAACTGAAGCCCAGGAGGGATGGGGGGTGGGCGCCACCAGGGGACACAGTGTGAGGGGGAGGGGGAGGGCTGATCCTGAGACCCTCCCTAAAGACGGGGAATGCCACAGAGACAGGGTTGAATGTTGTCCCCTCAAAGAAGACAGGGGGTGACAGGCAGGCTGAGTCACCCCTCCCGCCTTTGTCTGTGGTCAGGGAAGTGTGGAGGTGCAGGACTTCTGAGGCAGAGGGGGGGGGAGGGGGAAAAGTGGGTGGTCACGATTGCAAGGGGGAGGGAGGGGCAGAGAGAGAGAGAGAGAGATCCTGCTGCCCCGCCCCCTCCCCTCCCCACACTAATAAAGGTTGGGGCATCCGGGACCTTCCACTCCACCTGTCTTAAAGTTGTCCTGCTTGACTGCCCAGCAGATCAAGGTTGGTGGAGCCCCCCCCCCCCCCCCCCCCCCCCCCGGCTAAAGAATGGGAGTGGGGAGGTGGGGAGGGATGAGGTCCCGGCCGCCTCCTCTGCCCTGTCTTGTCTCCAGGGAGCCCTTCCAGCCACCATGAGGCTCTACCTGTCGCTTCCGGTCCTGCTGGTGGCCCTGTGTGTGGCCTTGGAAGGTAACTCAGGTGTAGGAGGGCTGGCTGGCAGGGGGTGGGGAGGGTTTGAGCCCCAAGTCCGGACTTACAGAAGGGCCTTGAGAGCTGGGAGGTCTCCTCTGTGCCCTCTGATTGCCCCCCTCCCCCAGGCCTCACATAGAGGTCAAGGTTTAATCATATTGGTCCAGTTGGCAGTAAATCTGTCCAGGGAGTCCTAGCAACAGATGATGTAGAGCGCATGCTTTTTTGGGATTGGCTGTTAGGCTTTTCCAAACTTGACAGGGGCTGGGTGGGGAGGAGAACCAGTATTGAGTCTCATGCCAGTTACCCCCATTCTAACATTGTGACCACCCCCCATGAATTGTGGTTTGTTGGGGGGGGGGGTTGTGCTGGTCCAGGGGCTTGAACTCAGGGCCTGTGCGCTGTCCTCGAGCTTCTTTTGCTCAAGGCTAGAACTCTGCCATTTGAGCTACAGCTCTACTTCTAGCTTTGTCTGAGTAGTTTATTGAGATAGAGTCTCGTGGACTGTTCTGCCTGGATGGTTTTGAACTGTAATCGTCAGCTCTCAGCCTCTTGAGTAGCTGGGATGATAGGCGTGAGCACTGAGCAGGTTGTATTTATTTATCTATCTATCTTTATTTTCTGTCAGTCATAGTACTTGAACTTGGGGCCTAGGCATTGTCACTGAGCTTTAGCTCAAGGCGAGCACTCTACCACTTGAGCCACTTTCCCAGCCCCCTGGCTTTTTTTTTTGCTATGGTTAATTGGAGATAAAGAATCTCATAGACTTTCCTTCCCCAGGTTAGCTTCAAACCCCAATCCTCAGACCTCATCCTAGGATACAGCTAAGATGACATGTGTGCACCATCAGTGCTGGGCAAGAATCACATTGAAAGACTTGATCAGGCAGCATGGCTCACGCCTGTCATCCTACCTACTCACGAGGCTGAGATCTGAGGATCACAATTGGATTTTTGTTTTTTTTGGGGGGGGTCCAGTCGTGGGGCCTGAACTCTGGGCCTGGGCACTGTCCCTCAGCTCTTCAGCTCAAGGCTAGCACTCTACCACTTGAGCCATAGCGCCACTTCCGGCTTTTTTCTTTTTGCTTATGTGGTGCTGAGGAATCAAACCCAGGGCTTCATACATGCAAGGCAAGCGCTCTACCACTGAACCACCTTCCCAGCCCCTTGAGAATCACAATTTGAAGCCAGCCTGGGCAAGAAAGTCTGTGAGACTCTTATCTCCAATGAACTACTCAGACAAAGCTAGAAGTGGTGTTGTGGCTCAAGTGGTGGAGGGCTAGCCTTGATCAAAAGAAGTTCAGGGGCAGTGCCCAGGCCCTGAGTTCAAGCCCCAGGACAAGAAAGAAAGAAAGAAAGAGAGAAAGAAAGAAAGAAAGAAAGAAAGAAAGAAAGAAAGAAAGAAAGAAAGAAAGAAAGAAAGAAAGAAAGAAAGAAAGAAAGGAGGGAGGGAGGGGGGGAGGGAGGGAAGACGAACTTAATCACTCCCTTGAATCCCATCCTAAGGGATTCTCCCAAGTGCTTTTATTCCCCCTTTGGCAGTACGGAGATTTGAACTCAGAACCGTGCATTTGCTAGGCAGCCACTCTCCCATGCCACCTCTAACATTCCTTTCTCATTTCCCTTCTGAGCAGGGCCTGCCCCAGCGCAGGCAGCCCCAGACTTCTCCAGCACTTTGGAGAAAGTGAAGGAGATTGGAAATACTCTGGAAAACAAGACCCGCACAACCATCGACCGGATCAAAAACAGCGAATTTCTTGCCAAGACACGGTTAGGACCCTCCCAGGCTCCCTAACTCCTGTCTTTGCTTCCTGGGAGAGACGGCTCTCCACAGCACCCTAGCTTTGGAGTCCACAGGCTGTGGTAGACCCTCTAGTCCCTGTGGGTGGATTTGGTGTTATTTGATTTTTGCCCTCCAACTCTCTCCTTCCTCCTGCCTTTATCTTCTGAGTACTGAGATTACAGGTGGGCGCTACCATGCCCAGCCTCTCTGTGGTAGTGAGAGAGGGGCATCACCATGAGCCTCAGTTTCCTCGCCACTGAAGGGAAGGAAGGAGCACTTATAAATGCCCAGCAGGTCAAGTGGCCAGCTTTCACTCCCTTTGACGAGTAGAGAATACACTTGTAAAAACAAAAACAACTTTTTGAGACGGGCACTGGTGGAGTCCAGACTCTTATCTCCAATGAAGCACCAGAAAACTAGAAGTGACACTGTGGCTCCAGTGGTAGAGCACTAGCCTTGAGCAAAAGAGCTCAGGGACAGCGCCCAGGCCCTGAGTTCAAGCCCCAGGACTGGAAAAACAACAACACAGAAAGAGAAAGAGAGGGGGGGTGTGGGGGAACACAGGAGGCCAGGACGAAGCTCTTTTGACTTCAAGGTGAAAGTTAGGCAGAAGCCAAGCCTGGAGATCCAGGAAGAGGATAGGATTTGAATGTCCTGGGGGGAGGGGGGGGGGTTGGCCACAGCAGGGACCCCCTCCATCTCTCTCCATAGGTCCTGGATTTCAGAGAAATGGGACAAGGCAAAAGAAAAGATCAGAGGCGCTTTCTCCTGAGCACATAGGAGGGCTGGGCCTGACAACTGAGCGCACGGGGTGCTCCAGCTGCCCCCAACCCCAGCCCATTAATAAAAATCCTTCAGAGAACCCTCCCTGAGTGTTTCCTTACTGTGGGGCTGGGGGTGGGGAGGCTGGGCAGGGGAGGCAGCAGGAGAGAGGGGCCCTGAGGATCTCCAGAGAATCTTCACAAAGGCTTCTTTGAGATGGAGCTGGGTCTAGTAGCTCACGCCTATAATCCAAGCTACCCAGCAGGCTGAGATCTGAGGATCCCTGTTCGAAGCCAGGACAGAGAAATCCTAGAGACTCTAATCTCCAATTAATCAGCAAAAAGCTGAAAGTAGAAATATAGTTCACATCCTAGAGAGGCCAGCCTTGAATGAGAAAAACAAGTAGCAGAACAAGGCCCTGAGTTCAAGCCCCAGTTCCAGCACATATACTCAATATAATAATCATAATAAATGATATCTGGACCCACTGGGCAGAGATAGATAAGCCAAAGAAACTGTTTTTTTTTGTTTTTGTTGGTCATGGGGCTTGAACTCAGGGCCTGGGCGCTGTCCCCTCAGCTCTTCAGCTCAAGGCTAGCACTCTACCACTTGAGCCACAGTGCCACTTCTGGCTTTTTCTGCTTATGTGGTACTGAGGAATCGAACCCAGGGCCTCATGCATGCAAGGCAAGCACTCTACCACTGAGCCACCTTCCCAGCCCCTTGTTTTTGTTTATCTTTTGTTAGTCCTGGGGCTTGAACTCAGGGCCTGGGCTCTGTCCCTGAACTGCTTTTGCTCAAGACTAGCACTCTACCACTTGAGCCACAGCACCACTGCTGGCTTTTTCTGTGTATGTGGTGCGGAGGAATCAAACCTGGGACTTCATGCGTGTTAGGCAAGCACTCTACCACTAAGCCACATTCCCAACTTGACCACTAATGGGTTTTGAGTGGTTCATTGGACATGAGAGTCTCAAGGGACTTTCCTGCTCAGGCTGGCTTTGAACTGTGATCCTCAGATCTCAGCCTCTTGAGTAGCTAGGATGACAGGCATGAGCCACCCTGCCCGGGAGAAGATTCCATTTGTGAGAAATGTTCAGGATCTCGCAAGTCCAGCCATACCATCAGAAAGCAAGGCCAGACACCTCAAATCAAGCATGCGGGTGGGTTGTTTTAGGAGATGATGAAATTGTGCTGGAATGTGGATGTGATTGTGCAAACTGGAGAATCAGCTAAAAAATAAATCTCATTGTATACTTCCTGTTATTTATTTATTTGCAGCACTTTGGGTGGAATCCAAGCCCTGCTAGCACGCCAGGCACTAGATCCACCATGACCCACAGCCTCAACCCCAAAGGGGTGAATTTTCTAGAATGGGAGCATCTCTCTCAGGAAGAGAGTAGAAGGCAAAAGTAGGGGCCGGGGGGGGGGGGGATATTTCAAAGTCATTTTTCACCCTGATTTCGCTGCCTTGAGCAGCCAGAGACTCTCACCAGGACATGGGAACTCAGGGTTGATGGGGAGCCCTAGAACAAGCACCCTGGGGGTTAGAGGAGGGGGGGCCTGATGACTTGCAGGATACAGAGCCTCTGGTCTCAGGGGTGTCCTGGTCCTGACCCCACTTCCCTCCCCCACGTCCCTGCTCCCATCCTCCATAGCTGTTTTCCTCCCTGACCACCCTGAGCGACCTTCAGCCTGTTCTTAGCCCCAGGAACAGCAAACATTGCAGACTGCAAACACCCAGCACCCCACTGTACCCCCTGCCGGCTGACCTTAGTGCTGGGGTAGGGAGTATGGAGAGCAGAGATCTCTTTCAGACCAGCCCTCCCTCCCTCCCTCCCTCCCTCCCTCCCTCCCTCCCTTCCTTCCTTCCTTTTCTTGCGGGTCATAGGGCTTCAACTCAGGGCCTAGACACTGTCCCTAAGTGCCTTTCCTCAAGGCTAACACTCACAGCCCGACTTCTGTTTTTCTGATGCTTTATTGGAGATAAGAGTCTCATAGAAGGGGCTGGGAAGGTGGCTCAGTGGTAGAGTGCTTGCCTTGCATACATGAGGTCCTGGGTTCGATTCCTCAGCATCCCATAAGCAGAAAAAGCTGGAATTGGCGCTATGGCTCAAGTGGTAGAGTGCTAGCCTTGAGCTGAAGAGCTGAGGGACAACGCCCAGGCCCAGAGTTCAAGCCTCAAGACCTGTACAAACAAACCCCTGTACCACCAAGAAAAGAAGCAAGAAAGCAAAGCAGGGAGCCAAAGGGATGGAGGAAAAGAAAAAAATGAACCAGGTGCAGGTGGCTCACACCTAATCCTAACTACTCAGGAGGCTAAGATTTGAGGATCACAGTTCAAAACCAGCCTGGGCAGGAAAGTCCATGAGACTCTCTTCAATTAATCACAGAAAAAAGCTGGAAGTAGAGCTGTGGTTAAAGTGGTAGAGTGCTAGTCTTGAGCAAAAAAAGGAACTCAGGAAGGAGCTCAGGAACCATACTCAAGCCCAGAGTTTGAGCCCCAGGATGGACCAAAAAAGAAAGAAAAAAGCCAAGGGCTGGGAAGGTAGCTTAGTGGTCGAGTGTTTGCCTAGCATGCATGAAGCTCTGGGTTCGATTCCTCAGTACCACATACACGGAAAAAGCCAGAAGTGGTGCTGTGGCTTAAGTAGAGTGCTAGCCTTGAGCAAAAGAAGCCCAGGGACAGTGCCCAGAGTTCAAACCCCAGGACAAGAGAGGGGGTGGGGGGCGGGAGAGGGAAAATAAAAAGAAAACCAAGGACAGGGAGCACATGTGTATACTGGATTCCAACAGGGGTCGAAATGGCTGGGTCACCTGACTCAGTGTTACGACCTCTTCCATCCACCTTTGTTTAGGCTTTGCCCTATGGCCAGTCCTCAAGCCCAGTAGCTAAAAGATCTTAGAAATAAAAAAAGGTAACTATAGGAGTTGAGTATGGCGGTTCTTGTTTGCCTGCCTGCCTAGTCTTCTAGAGGCTGAGGCAGGAGGATCTAAAGTCTGAGGCCAGCTTTAGATGACATAGTAAGACCCTGATTCCCAACAAATACACACACCCAGCCCTTGATGTGTGGTCTAGCCTGCTGGCCAGCTCCCCACGACCTGCTTCCTATTTTCTCCGGGACCCCCGCCCCCCAAGGGTGGGCTGTTGTCCTGCCTGGAGAGGAGAATTTCTCCTGGAGTCAGGATTTGAATCCAGTTCAGTTCAGGATAGCAGAGAGCCTTTGACTTCCCATCAGGCCATCCTGCTGCTGGGAGGGTGGGCGGGAGGAGGCCAGCAGGGGCGGGCATGGCCTCTGACGGTCACCTCTGTCCCCTGGGTCCTTCTCTCTGAAGTCCTGCCAAGGGGCAGGCTCTGCTGGCCTGGTCACTGAGCACAGAGGGTCAGAGGGATGCAGCCTCCAGAAATGGCCCCTCTGAGTCACGGGTTCCAGGCTGGGCCCATCCTGGGCTACGGTGTACTGTTCCTGGCCTTGGTTTTGGGTGAGAAACAGGAGGTGGCGGGCCAAGTGGGGACCCCGGTGGGGAGGGGGGAGGTTGACCATGCTGCTTGACCCATGTGGACGTGTGTGTGTGTGTGTGTGTGTGTGTGTGTGTGTGATGCTGAGGGTGGACAATGGGGTGGGGGTAGGGCTGCTGCCAAAGACGGGGATCCTTGGTGCACGTCCGTGCGTGTGCAAAGGATGCAGGATACCTCCACTGTGCACAGGTTCCTACAAAGTGCACACCTGCCCATGTTTTGAGTGTCTGTGAATAGCTCTTTTCTTTTTTTTTTGCCAGTCCTGGGGCTTGAACTCAGGGCCTAGGCGCTGTCCCTGAGCATCTCTGTGCTCAAGGCTAGCGTTCTACCACTTGAGCCACAGCACCACTTCTGGCTTTTTCTGTGTATGTGGTACTGAGGAATGGAACCCAGGGCTTCATGCATGCTAGGCAAGCACTCTACCACTGAGCCACACTCCCAGTCATTTTTTTTTTGGGTCCAGTCGTGGGGCCTGAACTCTGGGCCTGGGTGCTGTCTCTCACCTCTTCAGCTCAAGGCTAGCACTCTACCACTTGAGACACAGCACCAGTTCCGGCTTTTTCTGCTTATGTGGTGCTGAGGAATCAAACCCAGGGCCTCATGCATGCAAGGCAAGCACTCTACCACTGAGCCACCTTCCCAGCCTCATTTTTTTTTTTTTGATACCTGGTTTTGAACTCAGGACCTTGTACTTGCTCTGCTGGCATTTTACTACCTGATCTATGCCCCCCCCCCAAAAAAAAAAACATTTTGTGCTTGTCCTTTTAGAAATAGTCACCCAAATTTTTATTTATTTTATTTATTTTACTTTAATTTTTTGTTGTTGTTGGTCGTGGGGCTTGAACTCTGGGCTTGCGCGCTATTCCTGCACTCTTCAGCTCAAGGCAAGTGCTCTACCACTTGAGTCACAGCGCCACTTCCAGTTTTCTAGTGGTTTATTGGAGATAAGAGTCTCCGGGACTTTCCTGCCTGGGCTGGCTTTGAAACCTGATTCTCAGATCTCAGCCTCCTGAGTAGCTAGGATTGCAGTCATGAGCCTGTAACTCAAAAATGGTAGGGATCTATCCTTGAACTCAGACCTCCCAGAGCTCCCGGGCTCTGAGTTCAAGCCCCAGAATTGGCACTTAAAAATGAAAATAATGAGCCAGTGTTAGTGGCTCACACCTGTAATCCTAGTGACTCAGAAGGATGAGGTATGAGAATCATGGTTCAAAGCCAGCCTAGGGAGGGAAGTCCATGAGACTCTTATTTCCAATTAACCAGCAGAAAAACAGAAGTGGCACTGTGGTTCAAAGTGGTAGAGTACTCACCTTAAGCAAAAAGGCTCAGGGATAGCGCCCAGGCCCTGATGTCAAGCCCCATGACTGACAAAAACAAACAACAACAACAAAAAACAAAAACAAAACAGACCACAAGTGGAGCTGTGGCTCGATTGGTAGAGCTCTAACCTTGAGCAAAAGGTTTTGAATTCATGGGGCTGGGAAGGTGGCTCAGTGGTAGAGCACTTGCCTCGCATGCATGAGGCCCTGGGTTCGATTCCTCAGCACCACATAAGCAGAAAAAAAAAAAAGCCGTAAGCGGCGCTGCGGCTCAAGTGGTAGAGCACTACCCTTGAGCTGAAGAGCTAAGGGACAGCGCCCAAGCCCAGAGTTCAGGCCCCACAACCGGACCCAAAAAAATAAAAATAAAAGGTTTTGAATTCAAACCCCAATACTGGCCCATGCACATGTGCATTGTGTGTGCATACACACACACACACACACACACACACACACACTATACACTCTTTCTCCTGTATTATGTGCCTACATTGTAATTCCCACCACGATGCTAAAGTAGGTACCTACCCCATTCTCCAGGAGGGGAAACTGAGTCTTGGAGCACTGAGGTGCTAGGATTATGCACAGGTGTGCCTGTTGAATGGCTGGACTCGGAGCGGAGGCTCTGCTCAGGTGTGCAAGCTGTATGGAAGGGAGCAACTTGTGAGTGGAAGTGGGGGCTGGGGGAGGAGCTGGAGACCTCTGGGTGGAGGTCCCGCGTGAGGAGAGGAGGGAAGTGGGGGCTGGGGGAGGAGCTGGAGGCCTCTGGGTGGAGGTCCCGCGTGAGGAGAGGAGGGGGGGGAGCGATGGTGGGGTCCTGGCCCTTAGGTTGCTTTCTCCCACTCAGCCTGCTCATCCTCCGCAAGCCCGAGCCCTCCACCAGCGCCCGATGGGGGTCGCTGGAGCCTGGTGCAGACCAGGGTAAAGGAGCTGGTGGAGCCGCTGGTGACCGGGACGAAGGACAGGTGGCGGTGGTTCTGGTGAGGCGCTGCTGGTGCCGGGCTGTGGAGCAGAAGCAGGGCTCAGAGTCTGAGAGAGGATGCTGGGGCCAGGATTCCTGGGTCTGAGGGAAGAGGCTGTGGCCTAGATCCCTGGGTCTGAGGGAGGAGGACTGGGCCTAGATCCCTGGGTCTGAGGGAGGAGGCTGGGGTTTGGATTCCTGGGTCTGAGGGAGGAGGCTGGTGTCTGGACCCCTGGGTCTGAGGGAGAAGGCTGGGGCCTGGACCCCTGGGTCTGAGGGAGGAGGCTGGTTTCTGGAGCTCTGGGTCTGAGGGAAGAGGCTGGTGTCTGGATCACTAGGTCTGAGGGAGGAGGCTGGGGTTTGGATCCCTGGGTCTGAGGGAAGAGGCTAGGGTCTGGATCCCTGGGTCTGAGGGAGGAGGCTGGGGCCTGGACCCCTGGGTCTGAGGGAGGAGGCTGGAGTTTGGATTCCTGGTTCTGAGGGAGGAGGCTGGAGTTTGGATCCCTGGGTTTGAGGGAGAAGGCTGGGGCCTGGACCCCTGGGTCTGAGGGAGGAGGCTGGTGTCTGGAGCTCTGGGTCTGAGGGAGAAGGCTGGGGTCTAGATCCCTGGGTCTGAGAGAGGAGATTGGGGTCTGGACCCCTAGAACTGAGAGAGTGGAACTGGGGTCTGAACCTCTGCTCTGAGGGCCCCAGATGGACGTTCTGGGCGGTACCCTAAGTAGCTGGCATCTCACTGGCGCCCCCTCTGGCACAGGGGTCCGAGCACCCTTCGGGGTTTTATGCAGACCTACTACGAAGACCACCTGCAGGACGTGGGGCCACGCGCTCAGGCCTGGCTGGCGAGCTCCAAGGACAGGCTGCTGGAGCGCACCCGCAACCTGTGCCCGCGGCTCCTGTGCGGGACGCCGAGCTGAAGCGGGCACCCAGCCCGCACGTGGGAAATAAAGCTGGTCTTCCGTGTCCAAAACCTTGTGTTGCTGTCCCTCTGTGCGGCCACCCAGCCCCTCACACCCCCTGGCCCTGGACGGGGGGGACACCGGGGAAGGGGATCTAGGGGGAAATGACTCAGGCAGGGAAGGGGGGAACGAAAGACATCAAGGGACCCCTGTTTAAGGATATGGAGGGCTTGGACAGTAGCTGGGGTACTCTGTCCCCTGGGTGGGTCCTCACCAAATTCCGGGGTTCTCAACTCCTCCTGAGTCCCCAGACCAGCCCTATGTGTGTCATGGTGTGTTCTCCCAATGCGGGCTCCCCATAATGTCACCTGCTGCTCATGGACACGTCACCAGCCGGCCTGTCCCCTGCCCCCACCCCACCCTCCGCAGCACTGTTGGCCAGGACTTTGGCCTAGGCGAGGCAGTGGCCTTGGAGAGAGGGGGGCCCCAGAGCTATAAAGGCTCTTGGCTGCTTCGCCTCCGGGGACAGCACTGGCCTGCCAGAGTCACAGCCTGGTAAGATGTGTGTGCGCATGTGTGTGTACAGGGGGGAGGGGGAGAGGGGAGGAGTGGTACCCACTGGGAGTGGAAGTAGTGAGGGTGGAAGGGGCTGGGAATGACCTTCACTCCGTGAGCAGCCCAGGTGGCAATCACAGCGTTCCAAATGGTAGCAGAAGTCAGGCTCACGCCTGTCATCCCAGCTACTCTGGAGGCTGAGATCTGAGGATCAGGGGTGGAGGCCAGCCTAAGCAGGGAAGTCCATGAGACTCTTCTCTCCAAATAAACTATTGACTAGACAGGAGTGGTGCTGTGGCTCAAGTGGTAGAGCGCCAGCCTTGAGAGAAAAAAAGCTAAAGGATTTGTTCCCAGGCCCTGAGTTCAAGGCCTAATGCCCACATCATCACCACCACCACCATCCCTCGTCCCCCTTAAAAAAAAAAAATCTAGAGGAGTGGAATTCTGGAATGTGAGAAAGGAAGACACAGCTCATGCGCGGCCTGGTGCCCTGGGAATCCTGGCTGGGTGACGGGAGGGGGATCTGAGGACACAGCCCCTCCCTTGGTGGGGCGGGACCCCAGCCCATGGCTCCTCAGGTGATCTTCCTGTCCTCTGCAGTCCAGGTGTCACACCATGGGCCTTCGATTCCTGCTGGCTCTGTTCCTTGTTCTCATAGTACTGGGACACGGTGAGTCGGGGCGGGGCGGGGCGGGGCGGGGCGGGGCGGGGCCGGGTGGAGTGGGGCGGGGAGGGGCCGGGTGGAGTGGGGTGAGGCTGAGGACTCTGAGTTGACCTCTCTCTGTGTAGCTCAGACAGTCCTCCATCCTCTCAAGTGCCTGGATTACAGGCGTGTGTCACCTTGCTCGGCAACTAGTGTTTCTTCACTTTTTCATTCCCATGGATCAGGTTCCAGGGTGACATAAACCTGTCCGTCCTGTCTAAAGCTCCCCTCAATTAACGATCAGCCCCTCATCTCGCCACAGAGGCCCAGGGGGCCCTGCTGCCCCAGACCGAGCCGTTTGCCAGCCCAACTCTACTGGTTCAGGTCCAAGAATCCCTTTCCACGTACTGGGACACGGCCAAGGCCGCTGCGCAGGGTCTGTACGAGAAAACTTACCTGCCCAGTGTGGATGAGAAGCTCAGGTACCTGCCCTCCAACGCTTACCTGGTCCACACCCCAAGCCTCCTCCCTCAGTCCCCAGGGGTGCAGGCCGGGCCTCCAACCTCAGACCCTGTCTTCTCCTAGGGATATGTACAGCAAAGGCTCAGCTGCCATCACCACGTACGCCGGCATCTTCACAGACCAGCTCCTCACCATGCTGAAGGGAGACTAAATCCATCATGGGGGAGGGGGATCTGAGCCCCCTCCCCACGCCTCTGACCCCCTCCACGGACTGTACTGAGCTTCCCATCCCAGCGGCTCGCATTGTGTGGTTGTCTCCCCAAGACTTGCCTGAATTCTTTCAAATGAAGGAAGAAATAAAGAAAAACATATGCCATTTCTTCTTTTTCTTTTTTTCCTTGCCAGTCCTGGGGCTTGAACTCTGGGCCTAGGCACTATCCCTGAGCTTCTTTTGCTCAAGGCTAGCGCTCTACCACTTGAGCCACAGCACCACTTCCGGCTTTTTCTGTGTATGTGGTGCTGAGGAATCAAACCCAGGGCTTCATGCATGCTAGGCAAGCACTCTACCACTGAACCACCTTCCCAGCCCCTCACACCATTTATGCCTTCAGGTGGCTGCTTTATCTGAGGTGCAGAGCCAAGTATAAGGGCAGATTGAGTTCAGCTGACACGATTGTAGCCTTTACCTAGAACCTGGACCACAGGAATGAAAATGTGAACAAATGCTACTAGCTGCGCGGGGCGATTGTTAGGAAAGTGGAGGAGAAAGAAAAGAAACTGGCCAGGCTCCATCTTCCACAGGAAAGAACTGTTTTGGGGTTTGTTTTGTTTTGTCAGTTGTGGGGCCTGAACTTTGGTCCTGGGCGCTGTCCCTCAGCTCTTTAGTTCAAGGCTAGCGCTCGACCATTTGAGCCACAGCGCCACTTCCGGCTTTTCTGTTTATGTGGTGCTGAGGAATCGAACCCAAGGCCTTATGCATAAAGGCAAGCGCTCTACCACTGAGCCACCTTCCCAGCCTGAGGACTGTTTATTGAGATAGAACAGCGAAGGGCACGCCTTCCCATGGGCTTGGAGACTGTGTAAAAAGGTGGGCCAAGGTGGACTGGGAATGTGTCTCAGTGGTAGAGTGCTTGCCTAGCATGCATGAGGCCCTGGGTTCAATTCCTCAGTACCACACACACAGAAAAAGCCAGAAGTGGCACTGTGGCTCAAGTGGTAGAATGCTAGCCTTGAGCAAAAGAAAGTTCAGGGACAGTGCCCAGGCCCTGAGTTCAAGCCCCAGGACAAAAAAAAAGGTGGGACAGAAGTTGGGTTTTTATGAGGTCTGAGCGAGGAGGCAGAGGAAAAAGCCATTAGGTGTAGGGAGGTGGAGGCTTTTCGGTTGGACCCACAATGGAATGTTTATAGCAGGCTTAGGTACATTGGCCCTGTCTGAGTATACCTTTGGTGGCTTGTCCGATGTCTGAATGCACCTGGGAAAACAGGATGGGGTCAATCCTTCAGTGATACACACCTGTAATCCAGGAACTTGAGGGGATGAACTATAGACAGACCTTCTCTCCCAACCAAAGAGACAGAAGAAAAAAAACAAAACCCAAAACCCAGGCTGGGAAGGTGGCTCAGTGGTAGAGTGCTCGCCTAGCATGCATGAAGCCCTGGGTTCAATTCCTCAGTACCACATACACAGAAAAAGCTGGAGGTGGCGCTATGGCTCAAATGAGTGCTAGCCTTGAACAAAAAGAAGCTCAGGGACAGTGTCCAGGCCCTAAGTTCAAACCTCAGGCCTGGCAAAAACAAAAACAAAACAAGCCAAGCGCTGGTGGCTCACGCCTGTAATCCTAGCTACTCAAGAGGCTGAGATCTGAGGATTGCAGCTCAAAGCCAGCCCGGACAGGACAGTTCATGAGACTCTGATCTCCAATGAACCACCAGAAAACCAGAAATGACACTGTGGCTCAAGTGGTAGAGTGCTTACCTTGAGCTGAAGAGCTGAGGGACAGCTCCCAGGCCCAGAGTTCAAGCCCCATGACCAACAAAACACACACACACACACACACACACACACACACACACACACACACACACACACACACACATCTTGAACCCAAGATGTGACATCAGCAGCAGCCTGGTCCATTTGTTGTTTTTTTTTTTTGTCGGTCGTGGGGCTTGAACTCTGGGCCTGGGCGCTGTCCCTCAGCTCTTCAGCTCAAGGTGAGCGCTCTACCACTTGAGCTATAGTGCCACTTCCAGTTTTCTGGTGGTTTATTGGAGATAGGAGTCTCAAGAACTTTCTTGCCTGGACTGGCTTTGAGCCAGGATCCTCAGATCTCAGCCTCCTGAGTAGCTAGGATTACAGGTGTGAGCCACCAGTGCCTGGCTTTTTCTTTTGACAGCTGTGGGGCTTGAACTCAGGGCCTGGGAGCTGTCCCTGAGCTCTTCAGCTCAAGGTTAGGGCTCTACCACCTTGAGCCACAGCTCCATTTCTGGTTTTCTGGTGGTTCATTAGAGATAAAAGTCTCACAGGCTTTCCTGTTTAGGTTGACATCGAACTACGATCTTCAGATCTCAGCCTCCTCAGTAAGTCACTAAGCTAGTCACCAGTGCCCAGCTAGTATCCCGGTCTTTGAGTGGCACTGTTTATGGGTTGGTGGCACTAGGGCTATCCATCCTCTATCACTGAGCCACACAGCCAGCCAGGCCCCTGCCTGGTGGTTGACATATGGTCTGGAAGTGAATTGCTCAGAGTCCTGTGACACAAAGATGGCAAGCTTGCAGATGAGTTCCCACTCAGCTTGAGAAATCAATGCCTGTGCTGGCTGTGAGCCAGGAAGACTGTCAGCCAAAGCCTGGGCGGATCTTTATCAACAATGCCTTCACAGTGCATGTATTTATCAAGCACTTCCTAAGGTTGGAGGATACAACACAGCAGGGCAAAGACAGTTAGTGCTGACCTCATGTGATCTCTCAAAATGTCCCTTACTGGTACAAGTTCAGATTTTGTGATTATTGAATTCGTGTGTGTGTGTGTGTGTGTGTGTGTGTGTGTGTGTGTGCATGTACCTGTGGGGGTCGGGGGTTGGTATGTGTGGGGTGTTCCTTTCTCTCCAGGTTGGCCTTAGACATCCCAGGCCCTCACAGAGCAAAAAGATCCTTGGGTTGTTATCTGAGAATGGTAATGCATGTCTGTAATCTCAGTTACCCAGGAGGTGGAGAGCTGGAGGATAGTGGGGGGTGGGGGTGGGGCACAGAGTCAGGAAGTCCCTGTCTCAACAACAAAATTACCAGCCAAAGAGGCTCAAGCAAGTACTTGGCTTGGGTCTTGGGTGTTGTCTCTCTCTGGAGAGGCAGTGTTGGGGTGGAGACCCAGAACTGTCACTTAAAGGCATAGGTGATCAGGCTGGACTGCAGAGGGCTATGTGGCTGGAAAGTAGGGGGAGGGTGGAGAGGCTCTTATTGGGCCCCCGGGTCAGAAATGAGGGCTTGGTGGACAGACCACGGTATCTATCTAGCAGTGGGGACTTTGCTGGGGAAAAGGAAAAGGTGGATGAATAAGAGCAGAAGCTCCATGGTTTGTGGATGAGCAGGGCTAGGCCCCTGGGTGAAGTGTGCCCGAGGCCCGAGGGCAGTACCCACCCCTTTTCCAAGTGCCATGAATAAGGCTGTTGCTTTCTGAAGATCCACAGGCTGCATTTGTCCTCATTTCTTTGGCATCCACCCTCCAGCCAGTCTTTCAACATTTCTTTTTGGGGCAACTTTCCCAGGTCCTGAGGTTGGGCAGCTGTGAACCCAGCAGAAAAACAGGGGCCCAGCCAAGGGCTATGGGTAATGCCCCCAAGCCCGGAGGGCCTGGGAAGAACTGAGCTGCCAAGCCTAGTGGGTGACTGGGACAGGGGGGAGATCCTGGGGGAACAATCCTTGCTCTGTCCACTTGTTTCCCACAGATTCAAGCCAAATCAAACCATGGCCCAGGCCAGCTCTGCTTCCAACCAATCTGGAAGCCATTCCCAAACTCCTCCTTCCTTTCTCAGAATCCCCTCCCCACATACACACACCCTAACTCCCTTCAGGACCCCAGCATCCAGGCCCCCAGACTCTGGGCCCCTGATACCTCCTCCCTCACACTTAGCAAATGACTCAGAATCTTTTCTTCCTCAGGACCCTAAAGCTCAGGTCCTCTCCAGACTCATTAGTGTTGGGGCACCCCCTAGTGGAGGGTACAGTGTGCAGAGCATCCTGCAATTCCCTTAAGAGAATGGAATTTATTTATTTATTTATTTATTTTTAGGTGCTTGAACTAGGGCTTGAACTCAGAGCCTGGGAGCTGCCCCTGAGCAGTTTTTATGCTTTTATGCTCAAGGTTAGCCCTCTACCACCTTGAGCCATAGCTTCATCTGCAGTTTTCTCGTGGTTCATGGGAGATAAGAATCTCATGGACTTTCCTGCCTGGGCTGGCTTTGAACCATGATTCTCAGATCTCAATCTCCTGAGCAGCTAGGATTACAGGAGTGAGTTACTGTGCCCAGCTGAGAATGGAATTCTTTATGGTCACTTACAAGCCAGGGAACCTGGATCCCTGCAGGACCTTCTCCAAAGCCTTTGGTCTAGCTGACTGTCACTGTAGGAGGCTTAAGAGAGAATTTGGAGTACTTTGTAAATAGAGCTGAAAGCAGAGGAGCTCAAGGTGAAGCTAGAGGATATTTATTTTCCCAGCACCTTGCATGCCTGGACTTTCTGTCTTCTTTTATTTAAATCCTCAAATATATTTTTGTTGTCATTTTTGGTGCTGAGGATGGAATCCAGAGCCTTGCGCAAGCCAGGAGACAAATGCTCTATGATTGCCTGAGCTACATCGGCTGAAGTATATTTTGTTTACCAGCTGTTATTTCTGATACAGGGTCCAGGCTGGCCTAGAACTCATAGTCCTCCTGCCTCAGTCTCTCTAGTACTGAGATTACAGGTGTGTAGCAGTGCTTAACAAATTGTCTCTTATTTTGTGTGTGTGTGTCAGGGGGGAAGGATGCTGGTCCTGGTCCTTGAACTCAGGGCCTGGGCATGGTCAAAGATAGCACTCTACCATTTGAGCCACAGCACCATTTCTGGCATTTTAGCATTTGATGAACTGGAGATAAAAGTCTCATGAACTGTTCTTCCCCGGGCTGGTTTTGAACCTCGATCCTCAGATCTCAGCCCCCTGAGTAGCTGGGATGATGGGCGTGAGCCACTGTGGCCGAGTTTGACTGTTTTTGTGGCAGGAGGTGGGGAGGAGCGCCGGGCACTATTATGATCCCTAATTTATGGGGGGGAGGAGGAGGCAGAAACTCCAGAGGCTGTGGCCTCACGGTCACTCAGGCGGGTGTGAATGCAGGTGAGACCCCCCCTCCCCCGCTCACCCCTCCATCCCTCTCTCCCTGGCATCCTCGCAGGAATCCTGGCGTGCAGCCATGGGAAGATACATAGTAGCTAATGAAAACTTAATGCAATTCATGTAAGGAGCGGACGGGGTCCAGGACTTTGAGGTAAGCTTGGGAGTCCAAAAAGAAGGGGAAGAAGGGGGGGGGGAGGAGTCAGGAACGCGCATGCGCATTAATCCAGGGTACCCACTAGCTGACAAGGGTCTGACAAGGTCCCGTCCCAAGGTAGGGGCCCCGTGGCAAGCTTCAAAGAGTTACTTTGTGCCGGGCGCCGGTGGCTCCCGCCCGTCATCCTAGCTACTCTGGAGGCTGAGATCTGAGGATCGCGGTTCAAAGCCAGCCCGGGCAGGAAAGTTTCTGAGACTCGATTTCCAATTAACCACCAGAAAACCAGAAGTGGCGCTGTGGCTCAAGTGGTAGAGCGCTTAGCCTTGAGCTGAAGAGCTGAGGGACAGCGCCCAGGCCCAGAGTTCAGGCCCCAGGACCCACAAAGAAAAGTCAGTTTGTGACTAGGTGCGTTGGGAGGGAGGGAGGGAGGGAGGGAGGGAGGGAGGGAGAGCGAGAGAGCCAGAGAGACACAGACACACAGAGACTACAAACCAGCACGGTCTGCCTGCGCACGCGCAGACTGCAAACCAGCACGGTCTGTCCGCGCACGCGCAGACGGCGCCGGCGAGGTTCGAGGCGCGCGGGAAGGGCGTGGCCTGGACGGGGCGGGTGGGCGGAGCGACGGTGGCTGGGAAGGCTCAAGAGTCATGGAAACGGACCTCAAACAAGAACAAAGACACTCGAAGAACCGGCGGGCCAACAACCCCGGCTCCCTGCGGGTAGAGACCCACGCGAAAAGGCGGCTTCGTTTTCCTGGGGAGCAATTTAGTGAGGAGAGAGCCTCCCCCCCTCCCCCATGGCGCGGAAAGTGACGGGATTTCGCAGTACGCGTTTTCTTCTACCGACGCGCTACGGTGGCCGGGCGGGGGCCAGCGCCGCCGGAAGTGGCCTTTCCGGAAGGCGTGGCTAAGCCTCTTTATTTTCTCTCTCTCTCTCTCTCCGGCCGGATATAGGCCGTGAAATCTCGCGCGATCGCGCTGGCGCGGTCGGGGACGGGGCGGGACTGGCGGCGGGGGCGGGGACCCGGAGCGGGAAGATGGCGGCGGCGCAGGAGGCGGACGGGGCCGGCAGCGCCGTGGTGGCAGCCGGGGGAGGCTCCGGCTCCGGTCAGGTACGGAGGCCGAGAGGGGACTGAGGGGGGTTCTTCCTCACCCGGGGGGGGGGAACCTCGCGTGGGGCGTGTCCCGGTCCCCGTTTTCTCGTCGTCCGGTGCATTGTGTCTGCGGGGGAGCCCTTGCCCGGGCACGGGAGGACGAGGACCTTGACTGGTGGGGCCCGGACGCGGCCGTGGGGGTCCGGGGAGGCCCGGACAGTGGCGGAAACGGGGCTCTGTTGAGCTCTCGGGGTCGCGGACGCTCGCGCCTGGTGGCCTCAGGCCCTTTGCTCGAGCCGGGGCGCCTGGCGCGGAGGGGACGTCGACCCCGTCCGTCCCTCGGTGTCCGGGGTTCCGGACTCTGCGATGCTCGGCGCCCCCCCCCCAGACCATTGGGTTGAGTGGCTTGGCGCCTCGCTGGGGTGGGGTGGGGTGGGGTGTCGCTCTGGGCCCCTGCGATGAGAGGCCGGGGCCCAGCGGGGAGTTCTGGTTATTGGGAGTAGCGGGGGGTGGGGAAGGGGATGAAATCAGATGAACCCCCCCCCCCCCCACAGACCCATTTTACAGACTGGCAGCCGAGTCCAAGCCACCCCCAGGCGCTTGCAGAAGAAGGTCTCGCTGAGTTTGGCATCCATTTCATGTGGAAGCTGACACCCTTGGGTGGTCTGCACCGGAAGAGGGGGGGGTGATAGGAATTTCTAGCCTAAAGTGGTCCTGGTACTGATGACTTCTGACCCGCTCTCCCCCCCCCCCCCCCAGCCTCTCTCCAAGAGCATGCCGACTGAGGTACCCAGACACCATGCAGGCATCTGGGGAATTGATGGGGTGACAGCAAGGTGCTGTGGGACCTGCCCACTGAGCTGTCACTGACATGTGGGAGTCTGCTCCAGGGAGGGGAATGCGGGCTGGGGAAGAGGAGCATGAAGTGACTCTGTGTGAGTGTGTGTGTGACCTTGGGTAAATTTCTTCCTGGGGTTCTCCCTCCACAGGGGGGGGGGGAGGAGAGGGGGGAGGCAGGAGGCGAGTGAACAGAAGAGTGCATAGGAGAGCCAACCCTGTGATGAATGGGCCCCTAAGATGGCTTCAGTCACAGCACGTCCTAGCCGGAAAGGAGAGTGGGATAAGGAGACATCCTCGTAAACGGATCTTGGAATACTGGAGTTGTAAGAAAAGTCTGGATGCAGGGATTCTGGGAACCTAAAGGAGGGGCATATGGAATCATCTTTGAAGGGCAGGAAGGTGGAAATTGTGTGTGAGGAACCCCAGGGCAAGTGACCTGGGTGGTCTGGGCTGTAGAAATGTTGGTTAATGTTGTTTTGTTATGAACTCACCTTGTAGGCCTTGTCATCAGGGGCTTTGCATTCTCTCTGAAGGGAAATCTTTTCCTTCTGTGAGTTTCTGTTGATTATATGGTGGGAGAGAGCAGGTAGGGTTTGGATTGGCTTGATAGGCCTCACATATCCCATCATCCCTTGTCCCAGCTCTGTGCTTGAAACCTTTCCTTGCTCATCCTTTGGCCTTCAGGATAAAGTACAAGTTTTTTGTTTTTTTTTTTTTCCCTCAAGCAGATCAAGGTCTTGCATGAGCTGACTCGTGTCTAGAGAGGATTTGTCAAGCTGGACACTATTGACATTTTGAACTGGCTGGTTCTTTGTTGGGGAGCTGTCCTGTGCACCCTAGGATGTCTAGTAGCACCCCTGGTCTCTATACATTACAAGTGAGCATACACAGCCCTTCTCCAGAAGTTGCCAAGTGTGCCCTGCCGGGCACAATCACCCTGAACAAGAAATAGTGGAGTAAAGTAGGCTCAGCCACTCTGAGCTTGCCTCTTTTGTTTTGTTTTGTTTTTCTGCCAGTCCTGAGGCTTAAATTCTGCGGCCTGGCTCTACCCCTGAGCTTCTTTTTGCCCAAGGCTAGAGCTCTACCACTTGAGCCACAACACTACTTCCAGCTTTTTTCTGAGTAGTTTATAGGAGATTAGAGTCTCTCAGACTTTCCTGCCCCAGAAAACTGTGATCCTCAGGTCTCAGCTTCCTGAGTAGCTAGGATTACGGGCATGAGCCACTGGCACCTGGCCTCTCCCTTTTTTAGTTTCTTTGTTGGTGGTAAAATTGGGCTTTGAACTCAGTGAGCCATGCCTCCAGCACTTTGCTTTTTCTTTTCTTTTTTTTTTTTTAAGTTTTGTGCTGATCTTGGGTCTCCAACCAGCCTGGGCTCTGTCCCTGAGCTTTTGTGCTCAAGACTAGCGCTTTACCAGTTGAGCCACAGCTCCATTTCTGGCCTTTGGGGTGTTTAATTAGAGATAAGAGTCTCAAGGACTTTTCTGCCTAAGCTAGCTTTGAACTGCGATCCTCAGATGTTAGCCTCCTGGGTAGCTAAGATTATACATTTGAGCCACTAGCACCCAGCAAGCCCCTGGTTTTGATGTTCTGAGAGGGTATTGACTCTGTTCAGGTTTCCTTGAGTTTTCTATGTAGTCCAGGCTGGCCTCAACCTCTCCATCCTCCCATTGCAGACTCCTGAGTGCTGGTATTGCAGGTGTGCACCACCATGTCTGATTACATGTCCTAAGGGAAAGGGCGGGCCCACAGTGTTGCATCTTCATTGCAGTATAACGTAGGATGCTGGCCTTTCTTCCGTTGTTGCCTATGTGGGGTGGTGTATGTCATTGGGCTCTGTGGTAAAGACCATGGTCCACCGACCTCAGTGGAGTCTCCACAGGTCCCTCGGGCCTCTCCTCCTCAGGACCTGAGTCTTGGCGCTCCTGTTCCTGCTGGATCCACAGCTCCCTGACTTGGGCTACTGAGGCCTGGGACCACTGTGGCAATGGCTGCCACATGGCTGCACCTGCTCACTACACATCAGTTTGAATCCTGGGGTGAAGGCCCCACAGGCCCAGCCACTGTCCATCTCTCCCCTTCATTTTCTTTTGCAGTCACTGTCTGTACTACAAGTTTTCAAGTTTTGTTTCTTCCCAAAGTGTCGCGCGCGCGTGCGCGCGCGTGTGTGTGTATTTGTGTTTAGTGGTCCTTGGGGTTGAACTCAGGAGCCTGGACATGCTGCAATCTCTCTATAACCACCATTAGCCCTTGGTCATTCCTCACTCATCCCTGAGCTAGGTTGGAGCCAGGGCCTCCTGTGTGCTAGGCAAGTGCTCTACATGTTGGTTTGGGGTGCCTCAGCCTGGATGCTGTCCCTGACCTTTTGTTCTCAAGGCTAGTGCTCTACCACTTGAGCACCACTTCAAGCTTTTTGGTGGTTTATTGGACATAAGAGTCTCATGGACTTTCCTTACCCTGCTGTCTTTGAACCATGCTCCTCAGATCTCAGCCTTCTGAGTAGCTAGGATTAGAGACGTGAGCCACAAGTACCTTTGTATATTGTTTTTGAGATGGTCTGCTACCCACACTGGCCACCTTGAACTTTCAGTCCTATCTTCATATTACAAGTAGGGTCACCATGCTTGGTTCAAAGACTTTCTTTTTTCTTTCTTTCTTTCTTTCTTTTTTTTTTCTTGGGGGGGGGGGTCCAGTCGTGGGGCCTGAACTCTGGGCCTGGGCGCTATCCCTCAGCTCTTCAGCTCAAGGCTAGCACTCTACCACTTGAGCCACAGCACCACTTCCGGCTTTTTTCTTTTTGCTTATGTGGTACTGAGGAATCGAACCCAGGGCCTCATGCATGCAAGGCAAGCGCTCTACCACTGAGCCACCTTCCCAGCCCCGTTCTAAGACTTTCTTACAACATGCAAATCTTTTTTGTGTCTGGGCAAAAGATTGCGAGACCTGCTGTTCCCTTCTGTGGCTGAGCAGTTTTCTTTGGGCACTGGTTTATTTGCCATTCACTTCAGGATTTTGGCTGGTTGTAGCTTTTGTTCACTACTGTGAACATTTGTGCGGGAGCTTTATTATGGATCTGTTTTGCTGTGAAGGACTGGCTTGCTGGTTTGTATGGTAAGTGGAGTTTAACTTGGGAAGAAGTAACTGCTGCTGGATGCTGGTGGCTCATCCCTGTGATTCTAGCTACTGATGAGGCTGAGATCTGAGGATTGTGGTTCAAAGCCTGCCTGGGCAAGAAAGTCCATGAGACTTCTTTTTGGCAGCTGTGAGGCTTGAACTCAGGGCTTGGGCCCTATCACTGAGCTCTTTTGCTTAAGGCTAGCATTCTACCAATTTTCTTTTTTGTCAGTTGTGGTGCCTGAACTCTGGGCCTGGGCGCTGTCCCTCAGCTCTTCAACTCAAGGCTAGTGCTATAGTAATTGAGCCACAGTTCCACTTCTGGTTTTTTCTGCTTATGTGGTACTGAGGAATCAAACCCAGGACCTCATGCATGTGAGGCAAGCACTCTACCACTGAGCCATCTTCCCAGCCCTCTACCAAATTAATTAATTTTTTTTAATTTTTAATTTTTTGTCAGTCATGGAGCTTGAACTCTCAGCCTGGGAGCTGTCCCTGAGCTCTTCAGCTCAAGGCCAGCACTCTACCACTTGAGCCACAGAACGACTTCCAGTTTTGGGGGGTTAATTGGAGATAAGAGTATCAATGGCGCCGGGCGCTGGTGGCTCACGCCTGTAATCCTAGCTACTCAGGAGGCTGAGATCTGAGGATCGCGGTTCAAAGCCAGCCCGGGCAGGAGAGACCGTGAGACTCCTATCTCCAATAAACCACCAGAAAACCGGAAGTGGCGCTGTAGCTCAAGTGGTAGAGCGCTCGCCTTGAGCTGAAGAGCTGAGGGACAGCGCCCAGGCCCAGAGTTCAAGCCCCACGACCGACAAAAAAAAAAAAAAAGAGTATCAATGGATTTTTCTGCCTGGCTGTCTTTGAACTTCGATTCTCAGATCTCAGCCTCCTGAGTAGCTAGGATGAGATGACAGGCATGAGCCACTAGCGCCCAGCGTGCTCTACCAATTTTGAGCCACAGTGCCACTTCCAATTTTCTAGTGGTTCATTGGAGATAAGAGTCTTCTGGCCGGGTGTTGGTGGCTCACTCCTGTAATCCTAGCTATTAAGGAGGCTGAGGTCTGAGGGTCACGGTTCAAAGCCAGCCCGGGCAGGAAAGTCCGTGAGACTCTTACCTTTAGTTAACCACCAGAAAACGGGGAGTGGCGCTGTGGCTCAAGTGGTAGAGTGCTTGCCTTGAGCTGAAGAGCACAGGGAAAGCACCCAGGCCCAGAGTTCAAGCCCCACAACCAACAACAACAAAAAAGTCTTCTGGACTTTCCTGCCTGGGCTGGCTTTGAACCACAATCCTCAGATCTCAGTCTCTCCTGTGTAGCTAGGATTACAGGTGTGAACCACCAGCACCTGGGCTCCTTAAGACTCTTATCGCTAATGAACTAGCAGAAAACTAGAAGTGGAGCTGTGTCTCAAAGTGGTAGTGCACTACCCTTGAGCAAAAGAGCTCAGAGACAGTGCCTAGGCCCTGAATTCAAGGCCCACAACTGACCAAAAAACAAAGAAGTAACTACCATGTTTTCCAAAACACCTGACATTCCCCCTTCCCCCTCCCTCTTTTTGTTTTTGGTGTGGAAGCTGTCCCTGACCTCCTGCTCAAGGCTAGTACCACTTTGAGCCACAGCTCAGTGGTTAATTGGAGAGAAGAGTCTCATGGACTTTCCTGCTCGGGCTGGCTTTGAACCGTGATCCTCAGATCTCAGCCTCCTTAGTAGCTAAGGTGATAGATGTGAGCCACCAGTGCCCAGCTTTATTTTTTTTAATCATAGGATCTTGCTATGTTGTGGGCCATAGTGCCTGGCTCTGTTACCCCCCCCCCCTTTTTTTTTTTTTTTTTTTGCATAGCCCAGGCTGGCCTGGAACTTCAGGTCTTCCTGACTGAACCACCTGAGTTCTGAGACTACAGGTGTGCATCACTGAGCCCAGCTACATTGCTCTATTTTTTCAAATGGACTTTCCTGCCCAGGCTGACTTCAAACCACAGTCCTCAGATGTCAGCATCCTGAGTAGCTAGGATTTCAGGTGTAGGCTAACATTGCCTGGCTCGTTGCTCTTTTTTGTGTGTGTGTGCTAGTCCCTGAGCTGCTTTTTCTCAAGGCTAGCACTCTACCACTTGAGCCACAGTTTCACTTCTAGCCTTCTCTGAGTAGTCTCACAGACTTTCCTGCTTGGGCTTGTTGCGAACCATGATCCTTAGATCTCAAGACTTCTGACTAGCTGGGATGACAGATGTAAGCCACAAGCCTGGCTTCATTTCTCATCTTTTTTTTTTTTTTTCTTCTGTTGATCATGGGACTTGAACGCTTTCACTCAGCTCTTCAGCTCAAGGCTAGCAGCGCTCTACCGCTTGAGCCACGTGCTCACTTCCAGCTTTTTCTGCTTATGTGGTTCTGAGGGATTGAACCCAGGGCCTCATGCATGCAAGGCAAGCACTCTACCACTGAGCCACCTTCCCAGCCCCATTTCTCTTCTTTTAATGACCCTGTTTTCTTTTTTCTTTTCTTTTTGGTCCGGTCGTGGGGCTTGAACTCTGGGCCTGGGCACTGTCACTCAGCTCTTCAGCTCAAGGCTAGCACTCTACCTCTTGAGCCAGAGCGCCACTTCCGGCTTTTTTCTTTTTTTGCTTATGTGGTGCTGAGGAATCGAACCCAGGGCCTCAGGCCTGCAAGGCAAGCGCTCTACCACTGAGCCACCTTCCCAGCCCATGACCCTGTTTTCTGCTGTGCAGCTTTGCTTCGCTCTAGACTCCGAGCTGGGGCCTGGAGCCCAGCAGGTGTGCAGGAAAGCGGGTTTTGGATGTGTGAAGGACAGGTTTCTGGTGCACGTGGTTCTAATGTTTTCCTCACCTGGGCCAAGTTGCTGTGCCACCAGGGCTTGTGGGCACAGGACTGGTGTGGTCTGATTCACCTGGTCCCTCGCTGTCCTCCATGGCTGTGTGTTTCAGAAAGCAGGACAGAGCTCTCTGGTGGTGGGGTGGGATGATGGCTAGGCTCAGCAGGGCAGCAGGATGGTGGCCTGCCGTCCTGGGCAGAGCCTCGGGAGCAGCGAGGTGCTATGTGCTGTGGACTCCAGAGGAAGCCCCCCCTCTCCTCCCACACCTGGCCTCTCCAAGCTGCATGTACTAGGCTGTGAATGGAGCTGGTATGGCCTAGGTGTGGGTGTGGCAGAGCATGGGCACCGCCCACTGTGTTGCTCTGCCCCTCTCCCTTGTGTCTGTCCCACCTACTGGACTAGCAGCCTCTGTGGGCCCTGGCCAGGGACCCTTTGGTTGTCCCTGGTTGCCACCTCTGCTAGGCCCCAGCCCTGGGGAGCAGTGGCTGAGTGTGCACAGCCCATCAGCGAGCTGTGATTCACATTCCATGCTGGCCAGGGGCTGCTCAGGCTCTTGCCTCTGGCCTGCCAGTTCTCGGTCTGTCCAGAAGGGCGGTGCAGGACTGGGTGGGTGCTCCATGTTCCCAGCAGAGGTGCAGTAGCTGCTTTTCCCTGAGGGAAGACGTAAGCACCCAGCTTCCTCCTTGTCAGCTGCTGATCTTGCTCTGTATGGGCCCTGCCTGGCAGGCCCTTGGGGGTGCCTAGGGCAGCTCCCAGGTCCCCTTGCCCTCCTCACCCTGTCCTTGCCCCCCCCCCCCCAGGTGACCAGCAATGGCAGCATTGGGAGGGACCCGCCGGCGGAGACCCAGCCCCAGAATCCCCCACCACAGCCAGCGCCCAATGCCTGGCAGGTTATCAAAGGCGTGCTGTTCAGGTGAGTGGGTCCCCTGGCCTTGAGGAAATGGGGGCAAACGGGGCGGGGGGGCACCTGCTCGCTTGTTCTATGACAAATTAATCTCTGGCTTGTGTGTGTGTGTCAGTCCTGGACCTGAACTCTGGGCCTGGGCACTGTTGCTCAGCTCTTCAGCTCAAGGCTAGCACTCTACCACTTGAGCCACAGCGCCACTTCCAGCTTCTTCTGCTTATATGGTGCTGAGGAATGGAACCCAGGGTCTCATGCATACAAGACAAGCACTCTACCACTGAGCCACCTTCCCAGCCCCGTAGCCTCAAATTCTTGATCCTCCTGCCTCAGCTTCCTTCCTCTAGGATTATAGACACGTACTACTACAACATGGAACTTAATTAAATGTGATTGTGTGGTGCTGGAGAAAAGTCCTTACACCCTGTCCCCTGGTCCCCAGCTTCTAGCACCCGCTGTTCACGCTCCCTGTGACTCCCAACCACTGCAAGGTAGCGTTCCCGAATTTACCTAGAAAATGTAGCTCCCCCTCACGTTCAGGTGTGGGTTGCACACTCTGTCCCTGGGCCTCCAAGTGTCGTGCAGGAGCCCCAGAGCACAGCTCCCCGCTGTGTTCAGCCCCAGAAGCTGCGTGTCTTCTTTCCCTGTGTGCCCCAAGCTTCTCAGCTGTGGAGCCCGCAGGCCACAGAATGCTGGGGTCACACTTTGCTTTTAGCATCTCCAAGCAGCTCTGCCTGCCCACCTTTGACCTCTTGTTGCTCCTCACAGTCTTCTTTTTCTTTTTTTTTTTGGTGGGTCGTGGGGCTTGAACTCTGGGCCTGGGTGCTGACCCTGTGCTCTTCAGCTCAAGGCGAGTGCTCTACCACTTGAGCCACAGCGTCACTTCCAGTTTTCTGAGTGATTTATTGGAGATAAGAGTCTCACGGACTTTCTTGATTTTCTTGCCCCGGGCTGGCTTTGAACTTGCGATCCTCAGATCTTAGCCTTCTGAGAAGCTAGGATTACAAGTGTGAGCCACCTGCACCCACCAGGCTCTGACAGTCTTCTTTAGCCTTATAGCTGGGGAATCTCTGTCCTATCAGAGCCCTGCCTTACCTCGCCTTATAGGCCCCGGCCACCAAGTGGGTGTGAGGTGGGTACTCACTGCCCATGGCTCTAGAGGTCTTGTCTGTTGGAGATGATCTCCCTGCATGGCCCTCGAACTTGCTATATAGCTCAAGTTGGCTCAGAACTCCTGATGCTCCTGCTTCAGCCTCCTTTGTGCTGGGATGTCAGTTATGCACTACCAGGTGCAGCAGCGTGTGAAGGAGGGTTTGTGTCTTTGTTGGCTCAAAGAAGTCAAAACCTACCAGACACTGATTGCTGAATGCCTATCATCCTAGCTATGGAGGAGGCTGTGATCTGAGGATTGTGGTTTGAAGCCAGCCCAGGCAGGAAAGCCCATAAGACTCTTATCTCCAGTTAACCAGCAAAAGGCCAGAAGTGGAGATGTGGCTTAAGTAGTAGAGTGCCAGCCTTGAGTGTAAAGCTCAGGGGTAGTGCTCAGGCTTGAGTTCAAGCCTCACAACTGGCACAAAGAGAAAAAAAAAAAAAAGGAAAAGAAATTGGAAAGACTTAAAGGAGGGTGTGCCTCCTTCAGGCACGCAGGAAGCGAGTGTCCCTGGGCCCTCTGTGTGGTTCCCCAAGCAAGGACAGGCAGGGCCCCCTTCTCCAGAGGACTGGCCTGTGGGGGTCCTGGAGGGCCCCGGTCAGGGACGTTGCTACAAGCACAGCGCCACCTGTGGGCGCCCCGCTCTCACCTCTCCCTTGGAGTTTTTACTAAATTGGGAGGTGCTGAGCTCTAGGCACCGCTGGCTCCAGCCCTTTGCCAGCCACCCTCATTAGGGACACGTTGGGGAAGCAGCAGATGGCTCAGCTGGCCATGGCCCTTGAGACCCCGGACCCCAGGGCTTCAACAGGCCGAGGCATGTCCCCAAGCCTCATTCTGCCTCAACCAATTCAGGCACAGGCAGGAGCCCCTGCCCACCTGGGCATTCACTCCTGGTACTTTTCCATTCCAGAGCATTTTTGTTTTTATTTCTGTTCTGCAGTGCTAGGGGAGCCATGCCCAGGCCCTGGGGTGAGATGAGAACCGTGGTTAACACGGGTAAAGCACGTGCTACTCATGCCCCTTCCGGCAGCGATGTCCCATGTGTGTGCAAGGGGACATTTCCTGCTGACAGACAACTGGGGGAAGGGGACACTGCCAGCAAAAGCAGGAACAGCATGAATTTGAGGCCAGCCTGGGCTCTGTAGTGAACTCGGGGCCCTGAGTTCAAAGCCCAGTGGCAGACAAAAAGCACTAAACCCAGAAGCTCAAACCTAGCCCTTGGTGACTTACTGCTGTCCTCCCAACAGCTTAGCTTCAGCTGAGCTTGGAAGGTTTGTTTTTGCTTTTCTTTTTTGTTTTTGCCCATCCTAGGGCTAGAACTTGATCTGGGCACTGTCACTGAGCTGCTTTTTGCTCTCTACCACTACTTGAGCCACAACACCACTTTCAGCTTTTTGGCGTAGTTTATTGAAGACTAGTTTCACGGACTTTCCTGCCCAGGCTGGCTTTGAACTGCAATCCTCAGATCTCAGCCTCCTGAGTAGCTAGGCTGACAGGTGTGAGCTATCGGCGCCCGGCTTGAAATTAACCAGCATCAGCTCTGCCCTGAGGACCCTGGAAAAGAGGGCTCAAGCTGGGACCTGCATGCGGCTCCGTGATATCAGGGTCTCTCCTGGACACCCCATGTCAGGCCTGGGGAGAGGAAGGGGAGGCCTGACCGCTTCGCTCTTTCCTTCTCAGGATCTTCATCATCTGGGCCATTAGCAGCTGGTTCCGCCGAGGGCCGGCCCCTCAGGACCACGCGGGCCCCGGAGGAGCCCCACGTGTCGCCAGCCGCAACCTGTTCCCCAAAGACACTTTAATGGTACTGCAGTGGGGAGGCGAGGGGAGGGCGGTGAGGGTGGTCAGGACAGCGTCCAGCTTGGGATCAATGAGGAGCCCCAATTGTCATAGCTTATGATGTGACTGCTGCAGGGACGCCAGCAGGAAATGGGCACTTCGGGGGGGGGGGGGGGTGAGGAGGGTGCAAAAGCTTTGCCTTGTTGTTTAAAAACGGTTACAACGGGGTCCAGGGGTGCTTGCTTGCAAAGCATGCTGGGTCTTTGCAGGTAGGGTGTCCCAGCCTTGGCTGCACCCAGCAATGGAGGCCAGGTCAGGGCACCTTGCTCCATTCCCCCTGCATTCTGCCTGGCGGGCAGCTCTACTCTAGGTGTTTTTTGAGAGAAGGATGGTGGTGTTCTGAGGCTTGAACTCAGGGCTTCATGCTCGAGCCACGTCTCTAATCCTGATGGGCTTGGTTTTGTTTATGCTGGTATTGGGACTTAAATTCTGAGCATTCAGATTCGTCTCGGGCTGGTCTCAGCTGCGATCCCCTACCTCAGCCTCCTGAGTAGTTAGGATGACAGGCGTGAGCCATGGCGCCTGACTCTGAAGGTATTTTTTTTTTCTCAGTGCTTTTTTTTTGGGGGGGGGGGGTGAATCCCAGGGTCACATGCTAGGCAGGCATTGTGCCCTTGAGCCCCACCCTGTCCCTTCTTTGCTCTTTGATGGCAAGGCCAATAGTGGGCGAGAGTAGAGGAAGGCCAGGGACCTCTTCTGGGCAGCCCTGAGCCCCCACCTCCACCCCCCCCACCCCCCCAGAACCTGCACGTGTACATCTCGGAGCACGAGCACTTTACGGACTTCAATGCCACATCGGCGCTGTTCTGGGAGCAGCACGACCTGGTGTACGGCGACTGGACCAGCGGCGAAAATGCGGACGGCTGCTACGAGCACTTTGCTGAGCTGGACATCCCACAGGTGGGATGGGTGCCCCCCTCGGGCCACCAGCTCAGAAACCCCGGGGAGCCCCCTGTTCGTCACCCAGGATGCTCCTTTGCGTTGCTTGTGTGCTGCCAGTGGGCTGACCACAAGGAAGCCAATGGGAGGGTGGGGGGCGTGGCCTCCTTTCCCAAGGTCTAAGGCCTCACACTCAGTTCTCTGACTGCGGACCTGCTAGCTTCAGCTTTAATCCCTGCCTCCCCCAGGAAGCCCTCCACCTGTGGCTTGCCTGAGTGTCATCTCCCTGCCCTCACAGTTGTCAGGGGTCCCCAGCATGGCTCCGTCCACACTGGAACCCCAGTTTTCGGTGACAGTCTTGTCCCCAAAAGAGCTTGACGCTGGGCTGCATGTTCCCCACTGCTGCTCAGCTGGGGCCTGGAAGAAATCAGTTGACAGGGGAGAGGGGCATTTTCTGGGAGCTCCCCTGGGTTAAGCCCCCATCTCTTGTCCTTAGCCTGTTGGGAATGAGGCCACCACTTCCTTCTGTCTTTGTGGTCGTAGAGAGCACAGTTGGGGGGGGGGTTAAATCAGGCCAGGCCACAGCTGGAGCTGCTCCCTGGAACTGGGAGGCACTCCTTTCAAGCTGGGGGTCTGTGTGGATGTCACAGGCAGGGTCTAGGCCTTGCAGCGCCACTGGCAGTGGCAGATCACACCAGGAGGGGTTGGGTTCTCCTGTGCCTTCCACACATGCCCAGGGCAGCTTGGCACCTCCCTGTCCCCTCCATGTCCGTGAGCGTGGCACTCCTGGAGGCAGGCCGAGCTGATGAGCTGCCTGGGACGGCTGGAGTGTGAGGTAGCCTAGGAGAGAGCCCAGTGCATCAGCAGCAAAATGGGGGTCCCACCTAACCCACCCCCTTGCCAGATGACACATGCGTTCTGTGACCTTAGCTCACTTGGATGGGTGAGGCTGCCCTGAGAGCCCAGAGCATCTGCTGAACAACGGGGGACCGCGGGGACCACACTTGGGGCTCTGGATGGCCCTGGCCACAGTGGGGCAGTCTTGAAGCCTGCCCAATCCCACCCCCTACCCCCCACGGCCTGCCCCAGGCTGCCTCCCACCCACTGTCACCTGTCCCCACAGAGTGTCCAGCAGAATGGCTCCATCTACATCCACGTCTACTTCACCAAGAGCGGCTTCCACCCAGACCCCCGGCAAAAGGCCCTGTACCGCCGGCTTGCCACAGTCCACATGTCTCGGAGTAAGTCATTCTCATGGGGGCCTGGGCCAGAGGGGTGGACAGGTTGGAGCTGGGATGGTTAGAGGGACGCCACATTGGAACTGGGCCTTCACCACCGCGTCTGCTTGAGTGTCTCGTAAATCTTGTGTTTCATGTGAGGGCTGACAGTGCAAAGACCCTGCCAGGTCAGCAAAGCCCATGTGTTGGCTCCTGAATTTCCTAACCCACAGGAATTTCTATGAGTTGAACTCTTGAGTGTTTAGGCCATGTGTGGTGTTCATGTCTGTAATCCTAGCTATTCAACAAGTAGAGATTGGGAGGACAAGCTTCCAGACCAACCCAAATAAAAACCTAGTGAGAGCTGGGCGCTGGTGGCTCACACCTGTAATCCTTGCTACTCAGGAGGCTGAGATCTGAGGATCGCGGTTCAGAGCCAGCCCAGGCAGGAAAGACTGTGAGACTCCTATCTCCAATAAACCACCAGAAAACTGGAAGTGGCGCTGTAGCTCAAGTGGTAAAGTGCTCGCCTTGAGCTGAAGAGCTGAGGGACAGCGCCCAGGCCTAGAGTTCAAGCCCCACGACCGACCAAAAAAAAAAAAAAACCTACTGAGATCCCATCTCAGCTAACTGGCTGCACATCGTAGCATATGTCTGTGGTCCCTGTTATACTTAAGGTTGAAGAGACTTGTAAGCTGAAGCCATAACCAGGCAAAAACTCAAGACCCTACCTGAGGGCTGGGAAGGTGGCTTAGTGGTAGAGTGCTTGTCTAGCATACATGAAGCCCTGAGTTTGATTACTCAGTACCACATACACAGAAAAAGCCAGAAGTGGCACTGTAACTCAAATGATAGAGTACTAGCCTTGAGCAAAAGAAGCTCAGGGACAGTGCCCAAGTCCTGAGTTCAAGACCCCAGGACTGGTTTAAAAACAAAAAAACACCCTACCTGATAAATAATAGCACAAAAGTAGAAAAGGCTTAAGTCAGTGGTAAAGCACAAGACCTTGAGTTAAAACCCTATACTGGTTTTTAAAAAATTCAAACAAAGCCAGGCGCCGGTGGCTCACATCTGTAATCCTAGCCACTCAGGAGACTGAGATTTGAGGATCACGGTTCAAAGCCAGCCCGGGCAGGAAACTCCATGAGACTCTTACCTCCAATAAACCACTAGAAAGCTAGAAGTGGTGCTGTGGCTCAAGCGGTAGAGTGCTTGCCTTGAGCTGAAGAGCACATGGACAGCACCCAAGCCCAGAGATTGACTCCCCCAAAAAAAAAAAAAAATTCAAACAAGTCAGGCACTGGTGGCTCACACCTGTGATCCTAGCCACTCAGGAGGCTGAGATCTGAGGATCACGGTTCAAAGCCCACTTGGGCAGGAAAGGCCATGAAGCTTTTTTTTTTTTGGTCCGGTCGTGGGGCCTGAACTCTGGGCCTGAGCGCTGTCCCTCAGCTCTTCAGCTCAAGGCTAGCGCTCTACCACCTGAGCTACAGCACCACTTCCGGTTTTTTCTTTTTGGCTTATGTGGTGCTGAGGAATCGAACCCAGGGCCTTGAGCATGCAAGGCAAGCGCTCTACCACTGAGCCACCTTCCCAGCCTGCCATGAAACTCTTTATCTCCAATAAGCCACCAGAAAACCAGAAATGGCACTGTTGCTTAAGTGGTAGAGCACTAGCCTTGAGCTGAAGAGCTGAGGGACAGCACTGAGTCCCAGAGTTCAAGCCCCATGACCAGCAAACAAAAAATTCAAACAATGTTTAAATGTTTTATTTATTGAGTGTCTCACTGTGTAGGCCAGGCTGACCTAGAACTCAAGATCCTCTTGCTTTTAGCCTCACGAGTTTTAGGATTTCAGGTATTCACTATACCTGGCTTTTTTCTTTTTTTTCTTTCTGGGTTGGTAGTAGGGCTTGAACTCAGGGCCTGGGGGCTATCACTGAGCTTTTTTGCTCACTACCACTTTGAGCCACAGTTCCACTTCTGATTTTCTGGTAGTTAGAGATAAGAGTTTTACATATTTTCCTGTACAGGCAGGCTTTGAACCACCACCCTCAGATCTCAGCCTCCTGGGTAGCTGGGATTATAGACGTGAGCCACTGCGCGCCCTTCTTTGTTCTTTTTTTCCTCTCTGGTATGGAAGGATGAATGAACCCATGGTTTGTGTCTCTTCTCCCCCCCCAGGCTACACTTGAAGTCTCCTCAGTGTTTTTTGTAGAAGTTTTGGGGCTGGTACTGGCAGGGCCTCAAGTGCTCACTAGCCTTTCTTGCTCATAGCTGGCACTTCCACTTGAGATGTACTTCTGTTCAGCTTTTTTTGCTGGTTAATGGGAAATAAGAGTCTTATGGCAGGGTTGGGAAGGTGGCTTAGTGGTAGAGTGCTTGCATGAGGCCCTGGGTTTGATTCCTCAGCACCACATATACAGAAAAAGCCGGAAGTGGCACTGTGGCTCAAGTGGTAGAGCGCTAGCCTTGAGCTGGAGCTGAGGGACAGCGCCCAGGCCCGGAATTCAAGCCCCACAACTAACAAAAAAGAAAAAAAAGGGGTGGGGGGGCCAAAAGAGTCTTACGGGGCTGGGAATGTGTGGCTTAGTGGTAGAGTGCTTGCCTTGGATACATGAAGCCCTGGATTTGATTCCTCAGGAACACATACACTGAAAAAGCCAGAAATGACACTGTGGCTCAAGTAGTAGAATACTAGTCTTGAGCAAAAGAAGCTCAGGGACAGTGCCTAGGCCCTGAGTTCAAGCCCCAGGACTGGCAAAAAAAAGTCTCATGGACTTTGATGTCCAAGCTGGCTTTGAACTGTGATCCTCAGATCTCAGCCTCCTGAATGGCTGGGATAGCAGGTGTGAGCTGATACCCAGCAAGTGGTATTTGGCTCTTGAGTGCTTTTGCATATATGGCTGTTGGGCATGTCTGACCCACACAGTGAATCAGATTACTTTCTTTTCCCACCCAACTTCCCAGTTTTCATAAGGTTAATTGTCATCTCTGTACTTGCCTGGCCTTTTGTGACATTTCCTTGAGTTCCTCTGGGTGACAGGTGGCAGTGTGGTCTGTAAGAAGGTTGGGCCTGTGAACCTGGAAAGGTCACAGCCTCGAAGTGGGGCCCTAGGCGCAGCAGGGGGGTAGCGAGAGTGATCAGATGCAACCCCTCCCTGCAGGCGGTCGGTAGACGGTGAGGACCCTGCTGGGAGACAGTCCAGGGGCCTCTGTGGGCAGCGCCATCCTAGGCAGTGTGCAGCGACGGCTGTGGGGTGCTCTGAGCTCAGCTGTGCTTCCATTCCACATGGTTCCAGACACCGGTGAATGTGCTTCCTTCCCTTCCCCCTTCCCCTTTCCTTTTTGGGCTCAGGATTCAGAGTTGTGTGTGTGTCCCACTCCATCATGCTTCTACTTGCACCAGCCACGATTTTAGTAGGGCTGGAGGTCGGGCTTGGTGATAGAACACTGCCTAGTGAGTACAAGGTCCTGAGTTTAATCCCCAGTGCTGTCTGAATGAGTGAATTAAATTTAAAAAAAAAAAGTGAGTAGCCAGTCACCAGTAGCTCACACCTGTAATCCTAGCTACTTAGGAGGCTGAGATCTGAGGATTGCAGTTCAAAGCCAGCCCAGGCGGGAAGTGAGACTCTTTTTTGTGGGGGGAGGCCGGTTGTGGGGCCTGAACTCTGGGCCTGGGTGCTGTCCCTCAGCTCTTCAGCTCAAGGCTAGCGCTCTACCACTTGAGCCACAGCGCCACTGCTGGCTTTTTTCTTTTTGCTTATGTAGTGTTGAGGAATCGAACCCAGGGCCTCAGGCATGCAAGGCAAGCGTTCTACCACTGAGCCACCTTCCCAGGCCCGCCCACCCCACCCCCCACCGTGAGACTCTTATCTCCAGGAAACCACTAGAAAACTGGAAGTGGTGCTATGGCTCAAGTGGTAGAGCGCTTGCCTTGAGCTGAAGAGCTGAGGGACAACTCCCAGGCCCAGAGTTCAAGACCCACAACAGACCCAAAAAAAAAAAAAAAGAGTAAATAAGTAAGAAAATGGGGGGCTGGGAAAGTGGCTCAGTGGTAGAGTGCTTGCCTTGCATGCATGAGGCCCTGGGTTTGATTCCTCAGCACCACATAATCAAAAAAGAAAGCCAGAAGTGGCGCTGTGGCTCAGGTGGTAGAGTGCTAGCCTTGAGCTGAAGAGCTGAGGGACAGTGCCCAGGCCCAGAGTTCAGGCCCCACGACCAGACCCCCTAAAAAAAAAAAAAAAAAGAAAATGGGGCTGTGGCCTACAAGGGAGCCAGACCCATCTCAGTCCCACCCCCCACCCCCCCCTACATGAGTCAGGACCCCTCTTCCTCTCCTGAGCCTCCGCAGAACAGGTCTCTGGTGTTGATTCTCAAAGGGTGCTGGTTGCAAACAAGCTCATAGTAAGAGAAACAGTGGAGTCTGATGCTCGTGGTTCACGCCTGTAATCCTGTACTCAAGAGGCTGAGATCTGAGGATCCCAGTTCAAAGCCAGCTGGGGTAGGAAAGGCTGAGGCTCTTTTTTTTTTTTGGGGGGGGGGGTCCGGTCGTGGGGCCTGAACTCTGGGCCTGGGCGCTGTCCCTCAGCTCTTCAGCTCAAGGCTAGCACTCTACCACTTGAGCCACAGCGCCACTTCCGGCTTTTTTCTTTTTGCTTATGTGGTGCTGAGGAATCGAACCCAGGGCCTCGTGCATGTGTGGCAAGAGCTCTACCACTGAGCCACCTTCCCAGCCCCAGGCTGAGGCTCTTATCTCCAGTTAGCAACCAGAAAACTACAAGTGGCTCAAAGTGATAGAGCACTAGCCTTGAGTGGAAGAGCCCAGGGACAGCATCCAGGCCCTGAGTTCGAGCCCCACAGCTGATCAGAAGAAAGAAAAAGTAACAGCAGGGTGGGGTTGGCAGCAGGCGCAGGGCAGTGATGTTACCACTGTCCTTTAGCTTGTGGGAGACCCCTTAGGACTTGAGCCTCACTCCTGGCTAGCTCTCTATCCCCCATCTCCTGTGCATGGCCAGGCAGTTTTCCTCCCAGCATCACAGACTGGGAGAAGCGCAGGGGCCGGGGCTGTGGGCAGCCCGGCCTTTCCCAGAGGAAGTGAGCTGCATTTGTGGTTGGGGGTTTTCTCATGGTGGTGGTAGCTCTAGGCCCCATCCAGAACCCCACCGTGGTCTTGTGTTGGATGGGCTGTGTGTGAACCTGTGCTCGCATTGCTCAATGCTAATGATAGGCTCCCTCCTGCCACTGGCCAAGGAGACCACGCCTGAGTAGCCAGTGCCCAGGGCCGGGGTGGCAGGACTTACAGCTGGCGAGCAGGAGGGCTTGCAGCATGTGGCAGAAGGGGCAGCTGACTGGGGACCTGCAGGCAGGTGGCAGTGGCAGGGGATGTGTGAAGGGGGTCAGGGTTGCCTGACTGGAGGCCCAGGGTGAGCGGATGAGAGGGAGGGAGGGGATGTGTGGGACATGGGGAGTAGAAGATGTTCGCATAAAAAGAATTGTTTGAGCTACGTGCAGCAGTGTACACCTGTAATTCCAGCATTCAGGAGGCTGAAGCTGGGAGATCATGAGTTCCAGACCAGTCTGGAACTGTATTGCCAGATCTCAAAAAAAACCCCAAAAACAAAAACAAGTGGGTAGTGGGAGGCCAGTAAGGAGGTGAGCGCAGTCATCAGGGGAGACCGGAGTTGGGAGGGGTGGTGCCCTCCTTTGGGCTGTTGAGATGGGCTTACTTGTTGTGGCTGGCTGGGTGGTGGCGGCATCCAGCAGAGACAGGGAATGGGTGGCCAAGGGTTGGGGTCGGGGAGGAGGCCAGGGGACCTGCTGGTGGCCTTACCCCATCCCTGCCCTTGCCCCTTCCTCAGTGATCAACAAATACAAGCGCCGGAGGTTCCAGAAGACCAAGAACCTGCTCACAGGAGAGACTGAGGCTGACCCGGAAATGATCAAGGTGAGCTGCTGTGGGATGCAGGGATCCTGGGCTGGCAGGCACAGGTGCCATGGAGCCCTGAATGGGCCTGGTCAAGTGAGGTAGTGATGGGAAAGGTCAGGCCAGGCTCTGGGATCAGCCAGCCCTGAGATGTGGGTCTTACCCCATCCCATTGAAAGATGTCCCCTAGCAGGAAGTGGTGGGGCGGGCCCATGCCCAGGGAGCCAGCCCATTGGAGGCCCAGGGAAGGCTTCCAAGCATGGGCTGCTTTCCTGGTGGGCATCACGGAGACTGGAGGCCCCTTCCTTCTTGGGTGTCCCCATGTAGGGCACCAACCCTACCCTGTCCTCCCTGGTCCTCCCCCTCCTGCTCTGTGTGGAGAGGAGAGCCCTGGCTGGTGGAGTGAAGACACATTGGGCCAACCAGGTGCTGGACTCAGGGCCGAGCCCTACCCGTGGTGTCCTGAGCGCCATCAGGAGTGCGCAATACCCAAGGGTATATCTGCCCCTGAGGCCCAACGTCTGCCCTGTCTCCCCACAGAGGGCCGAGGACTATGGGCCCGTGGAAGTCATCTCCCATTGGCACCCCAACATCACCATCAACATCGTGGATGACCACACGCCCTGGGTGAAGGGCAATGTGCCCCCACCGCTGGACCAGTGTAAGCCCAGCCCTGTGCAGCTTCTGGGACCCCGTCTCCCCCTGCGAGGCCTTGTGAGGTCTCCACCTTCCTGCGCCCCTACCCTGTCCCACTCCCTCTGTTCTTGGATGGGTCCTTTGTCCCTGTTGGTGTGCAGGCAGGGGTCACTGAGCTCCGGGTCACTGGCATTCTCTGAGGAGGCCAAGCCACTGTGGCCTCCTGCAGTCCCCTGGGCCCCTGTACTGAGCTCCGGCCCTTCTGCGGGCGGTGACCCAGCCCAGTGCCCGGTGGGCTGACCGCTGCCCCGCCTGCTGTCCTGCAGACGTGAAGTTCGACGCAGTAAGTGGCGATTACTACCCCATCATCTACTTCAACGACTACTGGAACCTGCAGAAGGACTACTACCCCATCAACGAGAGCCTGGCCAGCCTGCCACTGCGCGTGTCCTTCTGCCCACTCTCACTGTGGCGCTGGCAGCTCTATGCTGCGCAGAGCACCAAGTCGCCCTGGAACTTCCTGGGTGACGAGCTGTACGAGCAGTCTGATGAGGAGCAGGATTCAGTGAAGGTGGGCGCTGCCTGACACCGTGTGAACTTGGTGCCTCCACCGCCCTTCTGTGCGCACACACACCCCAGGCTGCCCCGTCCCTGTCCCGTGTGTACACATGCACACACACATGCACGCTCTCTGCACACGTCTCCTTTCTGTCCTGTCCGCCTCCCCATCGTGGGGGAGAGGGGGTCTGAGCTGGCTGACCGTGCTTGTGCCCCTCCTCCAGGTTGCCCTCCTGGAGACCAACCCCTACCTGCTGGCGCTCACCATCATCGTGTCCATCGTGCACAGCGTCTTCGAGTTCCTGGCCTTCAAGAATGGTAAGTTTGGGACCTTGGGGATGGGGAGAGGCCTCACGGCCTCCCCAACATGCCCACCCCCTAGTGGGGTCTTGGCTTTATTCTCTGGAGGCCTGGTGAGCGGGGCGGGTGGGGACAGTGGTTCCCAACTTCTCAACCCCACACTGCCCGGCACCGGGTGCGGAGGTGAGAAGGGCTGGGCCCACAGCTGGGGCCGAGGCCAGGGTGGCACCACCAGGAAACTGGGCCGGGGAACTCCAGGGCCAGGAGCAGGGAAGCCCCGGAGTGGTTCCTGCACCCCGCCTGGCAGGCTGCCTGTTGGGGAGGCCCCTGCAGGCCAGCTCTGTCCTCTGAAGGGCCCACCATGCTGGGGGTGAGTGGCCCAGGCCAGGGACTGCGCAGGGCCCTCAGCGGGTGCCTGCAAAACTCAGCTACAGCCTGAGGAGCTGGAGGCAGAGGTCAGGGAGGGAGGCCGTGTGCCTTGCAGGAGCCCCCAGCCAGGCATCGTCCTGTAGGGGCAGGGTCCCAAGCATCACCGAGCACGCGCATGCGAACCAAGGGGTCACGAAAGCCCTCTGCAGCCAGGTCTCTGTTCTGATGAAAGCGAGGCCTCAGGAGCCATTTGGCCAGGGTCACACCCTCCACCTCCCCAGGCGCCATCTCAGTCCTTTCTTTTTTTTTTTTTTTTTTTTTTGTCGGCCGTGGGGCTTGAACTCTGGGCCTGGGCGCTGTCCCTCAGCTACAGCGCCACTTCCGGTTTTCTGGTGGTTTATTGGAGATAGGAGTCTCACGGTCTCTCCTGCCCGGGCTGGCTTTGAACCGCGATCCTCAGATCTCAGCCTCCTGAGTAGCTAGGATTACAAGCGTGAGCCACCAGCGCCCAGCTCATCTCAGTCCTTTCTTTCTCAACAGGACTAGGGATGCATCAAGTGGGGGTTGGAGGTGGGGGATGGGATGCCAAGCGCTGGGATTAGAGGGCGGCCGTGTGTCAACTGCCTAGCTTTGCCTCTGGAGGCCAGGCCCTGTGTGTGGGCCTCCTGGTAGTCCCGGCCCAGTGGCCGCCAGTGCATCAGACGGCTGTGGCCTTGGGTCTGTTGCCCAGGCTTTCTGAGTGGTAGTCAGAGCATAGGGCTCATCCCATGGAGGTCCGAGGGTTAGTTTCCTCCGTGTCAGGAGTGGCAGGGGTAGGGAGGGCATGCTGTGGCACAGACCCAGTGTGTCTGGGCTATGCCAGCCCAGGCCACAGGGCCATGGAGGCCGCTTCTGTGGTAGGCACTGGCTGTGGACTGCCAAGCTCATCCCTAGATGTGGGTGCTGGGTGTCCCAGTCCCGCGTGGGGACTGCAGGGGTCCTGCCTGGCTAACATCCGACCCCTCTGCAGACATCCAGTTCTGGAACAGCCGGCAATCCCTGGAGGGGCTGTCGGTGCGCTCCGTCTTCTTCGGCGTGTTCCAGTCCTTCGTGGTTCTCCTCTACATCCTGGACAACGAGACCAACTTCGTGGTCCAGGTCAGCGTCTTTATCGGGGTCCTCATCGACCTCTGGAAGATCACCAAGGTCATGGACGTGCGGGTGAGTGTGCTCTGGGGGGCTGGGGAGGTGGGGAAGGGTCGTCTGGCCAGCTGCACCCCTGGGGTTTCCCGACGCCGGCCTCGCCCCAAGCCCTAGGGGATTTCACACCAGGGGATTTTTTGGGTCACACATAGGGCAGGGAACTGGGAAGAGCAGGCAGGCGCAGGGCGGGGCTGGCACAGGGGAAGGGGGTTGTTCAGGCAGGGTCTCGTGTCCCCTCTACCCCCTGCAACCCCCTACCCGCCAGCTGACCTCCAGATCCCTTTCACAGCTGGACCGGGAGCACCGGTTGGCGGGCATCTTCCCCTGCCCGACCTTTAAGGACAAGTCCACCTACATCGAGTCCTCCACCAAAGTGTACGATGACGTGAGTGTCTGCATGCCCCCCGACCCACTCCCCCGCACCCCCGGCACCCCGCTGGGCCCTCTGCCTGCCAGCACCCAGGCTTCCCCTCTAGGGCCCATGTCACACCCTCTGTCCCCTCCCTGCCATGTCTACCTCCTGGCCAAGTCCAGAGTTCCCAGGGCCACCGGGAAATTCCCCTACCCTGGCGTACCAGGTGTGGCGGGTGAAGGTGGGGAGCAGAGTGCCGGGCAGGCCTGTGGAGCTGGTCCCAGCCTGCCCCGCGGCCCCGCAGATGGCGTTCCGGTACCTGTCATGGATCCTCTTCCCGCTGCTGGGCTGCTACGCCGTCTACAGCCTGCTGTACCTGGAGCACAAGGGCTGGTACTCGTGGGTGCTCAGCATGCTCTACGGCTTCCTGCTGACCTTCGGTGCGCCCTGCAGCCGCGGGGACCAGGGGAGCCAGGAGGGGCGCCTGGCCCCGACGGGGGTCAGGAAGGGCTTGCAGGAGGAGCAGGGCACGTTCCTGTCCCCAGAGGAGCAGTGTACCTGCAGGGGAGCCAGCAAACACAGCCAGGTGGTCAGAGCAAGGGAGGAGGGCAGTGAGGGGCCACGCGTGGGGTGTGTGAGAGGGGTTGGGCGGCATCTCCTAAGAGGACCTTTCAGCTGAGGCTCAGCTTCAGAGGGCAGAGCACATGCAAAGGCCCTGAGGTAGGCAGGGTATGGGTGGGTGGAGGGAAGCTCAGGGCTCAGGGATTCCTCCCTTGTGTCTTCCATCATGGCAGGCTTCATCACCATGACACCCCAGCTCTTCATCAACTACAAGCTCAAGTCTGTGGCCCATTTGCCATGGCGCATGCTCACCTATAAAGCCCTCAACACCTTCATTGATGACCTGTTTGCCTTCGTCATCAAGATGCCCGTCATGTACCGGATTGGCTGCCTGCGGGACGGTGAGACCCCCCCGCATCCCGGGTGGGAAGACGGGTGGACTTGGGCCCCAGTGGGCAAGGGGCTTGCACGCTCACACGTGCGTGCGTGCCTCCCGCAGACGTGGTCTTCTTCATCTACCTCTACCAACGGTGGATCTACCGCGTCGACCCCACCCGCGTGAACGAGTTTGGCATGAGTGGAGAGGACGTAGCCCAGGCCTCCACAGCAGCAGGTGCCCTCACCCCTGTCCCCAGCACGGCCACCACTGCCAGTGCCAGGGAGGAGGCCACAGCCCTGCCGGCCAAGCCCACTCCAGGGGCCGGCTCTGCCAGCGAGCCCCAGGACACCCCTCCAAAGCCAGCAGAGGACAAGAAAAAGGATTAGCCGCTCCGTCCTCGTCCTCTGCAGCTCCTGGTGACACCGCCCGCCTCCCGGCCCCTCGCCTCTCCTCCCTACCGCCCTCTCCCTGGACAGATCAGGCCGGGCCAGTGGGAGGCCCCTCAGGCCAGGGCCCAGCACGCGAGGTGGGGCCGGGGAGGCCAGGGTTTGGCTGTGTGCGGAGGCGCCGTCTGTCTGTCTGTCTGTCCTGTGTGTGTCCAGCCGTCGCCCTGCCAGCCCAGTACCATCTGAAATCATGGGGAAGCTGACAGGCGCTGCCGAGGGGGGGCCGTCGGGGGAGGGGCCGGGCCGGCTGTGGGCCACCTGCGGTCATCCATCGTCTTGTCCCTCGTCCCCACCACCCCTCCTCCCAGACCGCCGCCCTTTAACAGTCTGGATTTAATAAATTCATATGGGTGTTTAACTTAAAACTTGACCTCTGCGCTCCTCCTCCTTCCTGCCGCCTGCATAGCAGTTTGGGGGCCGGGTGCAGGGACCGCAGGCTCTCCTGGCCCTGGAGAAAGGACTGGTGGGGACCCCGTGTAGGGTCACATGGCCCGCTCGAGCCTCCTGGCCTGGCATTAGGCTTGGGCAGAGCCGCACATGCACACTACTGCAGTGGGCTCCGCCCAGGCCTAGGATGCCCAAGACTCAGTGGGCCCTGCTGCCTTCCCACATGAATCCCCAGAGCCAGGGGACTTCCTGCACTTGGCAGAGGGGAGAGGGGACACCCCGAGGGAAGAGACCCTGAGCTAGGACCACGCCAGGGGCTTCCAGCCTCCTCCCGCCATCCTCCCCCACCGTGTACAGCCGGAGGCCCTTGAGGGATGGTGGTCTCCCACGACCCCATTCTGCGCCAGCCTTTCCCAAGGCCCTTGGTGCCCCACAATTGCTCGAGTCTTCCATCAGGGCAGTCTCCTCCCTTCTGGGGAGCCCAGCCCAACTTTGTCCATGGCTCTCCCTATCTATAAAGCATAAGCTTAGCCCTCCTAAACTTGGGGTACCTCAGAAGTGCCCAAGCTCCTAAGGGATGGGAAGCTAGAAGCTTCTTTTTTTGTTTTTGTTTTTGTTTTGGTCGGTCATGGGGCTTGAACTCTGGGCCTGAGCACTGTTCCTCAGCTCTTCAGCCCAAGGCGAGCGCTCTACCACTTGAGCTACAGCGCCAATTCTGGTTTTTTGATGGTTTATTGGAGATAAGAGTTTTGTGGCCTTTCCTGCACAGTCTGGCTTTGAACCACGGTCCTCAGATCTCAGCCTCCTGAGTAGCTAGGATTACAGACGTGAGCCACCAGCGCCCGGCAAGGCTTCTTTTTGTTGTTGTTGTTTGTGGGGCTTGAACTCTGGGCCTGGGCGCTGTCCCTCAGCTCTTCAGCTCAAGGTGAGTGCTCTACCACTTGGGCCACCCCGAGGGAAGAGACCCTGTTTTCTGGTGGTTTATTGGAGATAAGAGTCTCGGACTTTTCTGCCCCAGGCTGGCTTTGAACCACTCCATCCTCAGATCTCATCCACCTGAGTAGCTAGGATGACAGGCGTGAGCCAGTGAGCCACCAGTGCCGTGCGTGGAGGCTTCTTTAACTCCTACAACTTGCTGTCTCACCTCTGTGCTAGCCATGCTGTTCCTTTCTGGACCATGCTGAGTGCACATGCTCAGCTCCTCCCACCTGAGGTCCCTCCCCCATGCCCCATGCCCTCCCTGACCCCCTTAGTCCTCTGTGCACTTGCTCATGACAATGCTGCCCATTCTGGGTTCTCACTGCCACTAACGGTCCTAGGCCTGTCTTGTTGGCTACCTTGTCCCCAGTACCTGTAAAGCATGTTTACAAAGTGCTTACAACGGCTGACATCAGTGGTGTGGCCCTCTGTAGATAGCCTGCACTTGTGCACCTGCAGACTGACTGACATGCAGTCAACAAAGACTGTCTAGGTAGGGGGAAGCACTACATGTGGTTCAGTATGTTGAACTTCATGTGACTCAATGTCCCCCTCACCCTACAGGCCTGGAACTCTGGCTTTTATTTATTTGTTTTTGTCGGTTGTGGGGCTTGAACTCAGCCTGGGCGCTGTTTGTGAGCTCTGCAGCTCAAGGCAAGCGCTCTACCACTTGAGTCACTTGATTTCTGGTGGTTTACTAAAGAAGAGAGTTTCATGAACTTTCTGGCCTGGGCTGGCTTTGAACTGTTGTCCTTAGATCTCAGCCTCAGAGTAGCTAGGATTACAGGCCACCAGTGCCTGGCTTGGAACTCTGGCTTTATCTCTGCCTCTTTGTCAGTCTACCCCAGCTTGCTGTCTGTCCTCCAACGTGTGATGCTTGAACTGGGTGTGGCAGTGTATGCGGTAACCCAGGTCTCAAAAGGCTGAGTCGGGGATCTTGAGTTCCAGGCCAACCTGGGCTACATAAACTTAAAACTCTAGAAACAAGCAATCATGAGATGCATGTGATACACAGTTTTCTTTTCCTTTTTCTTTTTAGTCATTCTTGGGGCTTGAACTCGGCCTAGGCGCTGTCGCTCAGCTCTTCAGCTCAAGGCCAGTACTCTACCACTTGAGCCACAGCACCACTTCCGGTTTTCTGAGTGGTTTATTGGAGATAAGAGTTTCACGATCTTTCCCTGCCCCACTGGCCTTGAATGCGATCCTCAGATCTCAGCCTCCTGAGTAGCTAGGATTACCGGCGTGAACCACCGGTGCCTGGCCAGAGTTTTATTTTCTACCTCAGGGCTTTTGCATTCCTTGTACCTGTGCCTGAGTGTGACCCCTGCCTTCAGGTCTCTTCTTCAAATGTTACTTCTTTCAGACCTTCCCCAGCCTTCCCCATACAACCTGCATTGCAAACTTGGGGCACATTGCCTGCTTTGCCCATCAGCCGGCACGTATTTGTGAAATATTTTCCCCAGTCTTTCACTTGGATTTCTGCTTGATGGCAAAAGCTTTTGTCCTTGAGTTCCCTAGTAGGTCCCCAGCTTCTACACTAAGTGTAAGATGATTGCTGTTCACCTATTTTATTTGTTGGTCGTGGGGCTTGAACTCTGGGCCTGGGTGCTGTCCCTGCGTTCTTCAGCTCAAGGCGAGCGCTCTACCACTTGAGCTACAGCACCACTTCAGGCTTTCTGGTGGTTCATTAGAGAAAAGGGTCTCACAGGGGTCTCACTGACATTCCTGCTCAGGCTGGCTTTGAACCGTGATCCTCAGATCTCAGCCTCCTGAGGAGCTAGGATGACAGGCACCCGGCACGTGTTTACCTATTTAGACAATGAATTTTAAAAAGACCCCAGGAATGCAGCTAGGTGGCAGGGGCGTGGCTAGCGACTTACTCCATGGACGGGGCGTCAGTGGCCCTGGGTTTCAATGGTCTCGGCCAGCGCAATGAGCAGCCCAGCGCAATGAGCAGCGGGCGCCCGGCCCCTCCACCAGGTCCCAACCTTCCCTTCCCGGCCGGCCCCGCCCCCTCCGTCACGTGACGCGCGGGGGTTTTCCCGTTTCTCTGCCGTGATGTCACGGCGGGGTGTGAGCCAATGAGCGCGCAGGCTGGCGGCGCCGGGGAATTCCGCCGCCCCGCCCCCGCCCGTCGCCCGCCCGGCCCGGCCCGGCGCCCCCCGCAGCCCGGGGCGCCCTGCGTCCAGCCCGGCCCGCGGTTCCCAGTCCCTGCACGGCTCGCGCGACCCGCCATTCCTCCGCGGGCTGTGCTGCCCGGCCAGCCGCGTGCGAGCTTTGGTTTGGGCCGGTCTCCGAGCTGTCCGTCCCCACCGGTCGGGCCATGCCGAGTCGCCGCGTCGTCAGACCGCCCCCTGCGCCCGAGCTGGGGGCCTTGGGTAAGCGGAGCTGAGGTTCCCGGGAGAAGTCTGGGGCGGGGCCGGAGATGTGGGAGCTCCGGGGGTCTCCAGGAGCAAGGCGGGGGTTTCTAAAGGCGCCCAAGGGATCTGGCGCGGGGACACCGTGCTAGGAGGAAGCCGGCGGACGGTACGGGCGAAGGGTCCGGACGAGGTACCGCCGAGGCGTCCCGCGGGAGAGTGGGGAGGGGGCGGGGCCTGCCCCAGAGGCAGCGGAGGGGGCGGGGCCTGATTCCCAGGTGGGCGGGGCCTGGAGACCGGGGGTGGGGCGTGTGCTGCTCCGAGGGGGGTGGGGCGGGGCCAGGCTCGGAGAGTGGGGGGACGGGGCGGGGCCTGCCCTGAGAAGAGGCGGGGCCTGGCCCTGAGGAGCGAGGGGCGTGGCTAGCGGGCATAGCGGGTGTGGAAAAAAGGAGAGCCAGGCCTGATGCTGAGAAGGATCCGGTCTGCCAGGACAGTTTGTGAAGGAGTCCCTCAGGCCCATGCCTTAAAGAGGGACAGAGCAGATCTGCAGTGAGGAAGGATGGGACGAAAGGGCGAAACAATGAAGTCTGAAATGTCTGGTCAGGGGAAGAACCTGACCCTAAGGGGAGGGGCCAAGGGAAGAAAGGAAGTGGGGCTTGGGAGATTGTCTGGTCTTCTGATGGCCTTTCTGTGAGACCTGCCTCCTTCTTGCAGGGTCCAGTGGTGACCCCTCCACGCTCTCCCTGGGCATTTCCAGGACCACAGGTGAGCAGTCCCTGTCCACCTGTTTGTGGGAGATGGAGTTGGGGGAGCCTCTGTGGAGATGGGTTGGGCACATCTCTGGGGGATTCATCCACGTTCACCTTTCCTTTGATGGGCTGTGACCCTCTATGCCCTGTTGAACTAGCTTGGTTATCCCTACTTTCTGGAGGTTAGGAACCTCAACTACTTATACTCTTCAGAGGATAATTAAGAAATTCACCTCAGATTATAGCAGACTGACAACCACCACCTTGGGTGTTGAAGCAGGAGTTTATATTCCTCATCCAAGAATGTCTGCAGGTTGCTTTCCCATACCTCAGTTGGCCTGTCTTTACAATGGACTTGATATCAGTTCCTTCCTTTTGCTGGTGGGGGATTTTCAATAAGTCAATATAGACAAACATGGGAGGCAGAAATAGGAAGATCACTGTTCAAAGCTTTGGGAGCCCTACCTGAAAAACAAACTAAAAACTAGAGGACTAACTGGGGGTGTGGCTCAAGTAGTATAAACACTTGTCTAGTAAGTATAAAGGCTCTTTCAAACCCAAGTAGTACCAAAAAAAATGGTGATGGTAATAATTATTACAGTGACTATAACATTTGCATCAGATTCATTAATTAAACCATATGTGTTGGAATCACCAGAAGGCTCATTAAGAGAGATTAGTAGGCACTCTATCTAGAGTTTCTGACCCTGTAGGTTTGTGACTGGCCCTGAGAATTTGCATTTTGAAGAAGTTCCCAAGATCTACATGCCTATGCTTAGCTACTCTGGAAGCTGGACCTGAGAATTGAGATTCAAAGCCAATCTGGGCAGGCAAATCCATAGGACTGTTATCTCCAATTAGCCAGCAAAATGCTGGACTAGAGATGTGGCTCAAGTGAT